CCCAACGAAGCCGCTGGGAAAAGCGTGTGTACCCTCCCGACCTGGAAGCGCACCAAAGAAACGCGTCCGCGCACGCAACCATGCGCTACAGTAAGACATGTGGTTGATGGATTGCTGGTCCGAGGTCCTGGCCCCTCCCATCCAATGGAGGCTCCCATGAAAATGGTGTTGTTTTCCTTTTCCAGGCATGATCCCTGCGTTTTCCAGTTGTTCTTTTGCAGGTGGGCATGATCCCGCGATTCCTGGGTCTGGGCGTCCAGGGCAGCAGTTGTTGGTCATGGTTTAGTGGGACAGGCTTGCCCCCAACCTCAAAGGAATGTTTAAATTGCGAGGGTAGAGAATAGATCTTCGTTCCCTGCTCTACGGGCAAGAGTTCGACCCTTGTGAGCATCCAGACATGTGAAAGGGTCGAAAATTGGTTTGGCCACCCTTGCTGGTTGTGGGAAACAGGGTTGTAGGGCAGCTGTTTGTTTCCCCATGGCCAGCCCAATCAGGCATACCAAACTTGATGTTCCATGATTTTCCTGTGACTTTCGGAGCAGCCCTTCGTGCTGGTCATGTTTTTGCTTCGTGCGAGGCGCATGCCAACCTTGCGCTTGCCCCGCTCATCTTTGGCGCTTCCGCCGGCAGGCGCCCGGAGGGCAGAGGCAGTCGCAAAACGCCCAGGTTGCCCCAGGGCAGACTGAAGCCCTGTGTTTTTTTGTTTTTTGTTTTCGGTTTCCAAGGGTTAAGGTCGCCTGTCCTCAAAATGGTACTGAGGTGCAAGGGTGGCGGCTGTTCTTGCAAGCTTTGGGTTGAATTGACAAAATGGCAGCCCGGCCTGGGAGTTCGCATCCAAAGACAAACTTTGATCCCCACAACTGAGAAAGCGGGCCCCGCAAGCCGATTCCAGCAAAAATTCGGCAGTTTCTTGGGTTCCGCGCCAGTTTTCCGATCAAACAAGCGTAGAAGCCACGATGAGCAACTTGCCACGTGCTTGTTTGTTGGCTCCTGCGTTGTCCGGACCTCCAAATAAGGCAAACCAGTTTTTGTTTCCGTTGAAGTTAGGTTTGAGCTTCTCGCGCAGATTGTGGCGAGACCGCTGGTGGCAAGCGAACTCACCGGAAGCGCTTCATTTTTGAGCCCTTGGCTAAGACCAAAAGTGCAAATCTGGGGTCGCAGAGGAAGAACAGTAAGCAGAGGAGATTGCTGGAATTTTGGAACTTTCAACCAAGCTGAGGTGCTCGAGTTGCAAAGGGCTTTAGACTTCAGGTCTCGAGCCCCTTCGGCATCGAGATCCCTTATCGGGGATAGAGGTACAGGTCAAAACTAAACCACCAGGCGACCAGGTTTTAATTTTTGGTTGCAGTTGCCAGAGGTCCAGTTGCAGACCGTTTTGTGACCCACAGCCATATGCCTCCCCTGGTAACACTTGAGAATCGCTCTGGCAACGGCCGGCCTGGAAACTTGTTGTAGATGCCATTTTGCCTTTCGCTTTCCCGTGCAGAAAATTCGGGGGCGGAGGGGAATGTGTAAATTGACCTTGGATGTTCAGATGTATAGGTCACCATGGTGGGGTTAAGGATGGCTAGCCAGTTCTCCAGTGATAGTTTGTCCTTTCTTAGTCCCGAGCTCAACCCGCCCCAAAACTCCAAGCGCATTCCTTTTTCAGGCTTAGGCACGGAGGCTTACATACTAATCATGCCCCTACATAGAATCCTATACCTAAAGACTTCCAGTAGTACCCTATACTACTCCAAACCTTAGATCCATAGAATCCATATCTTGAAATCCTACACTAAGCCAAAACAAAACCTTCCAGCCCGCTTTGTTCCTGGTAGCCGAGAGCACCGGATCCCGGCCAGGGCACGGAAGCCATGCCCGTTGGAGCCATGCGAAGAAGGCCGAAGGGGAGGTTCGTTTCGTTTTTCTGGCTGGCTCAGATGTGTGTATATATATATATGTATGTATGTAATATGTGTGTGACAATATATATATATATATATATGAATACATATGTACATATACATGTATATATATATATACATATATATATATATATATGTGTGTATACATGTGTATATATATATGTGCCATTTTTGTGGTTCCAAACATCACCTTTTGGGCCAATCCAAAGTGGATTCTTGTCTGTGGAGGGGTGGTGTTTTGGGAGGAAAAACGCAGGGAGCCCTGTTGTTCTTAGGGAATGAGTTGGAACGAGGTCCGGGGATCCCTTTCCGCTTGATTCCCGACGGAGAACCCACAAGCTTTTGGCTTGTTTTCCGTTTGACCTTTTGGTGTCCAGTTTTGGTATTGTCTCAATCTCACAAGGTTTTTTTCGGGCCTTTGGTTGCCAGTTAGGCCGGTTGAGGCTTTAAGGTGGGCCGCCAACAGCTTTGCCATGGTCAGGAGGTCAACCATCGAAGACTGACCGCTTCATCCGAGAGGGTGCCTTGAAAAAAAACTAGCATCTTGATTGCTGAGAAGTACTATTGGCCTGCCTCCTTTCGCCTAGCACTTGAACCACTCAGGTTCCCCGCCCGCCAGAAATGGATCCTTCTGAGGGGGGGGGGGTTCTTGGAGCTCAAGCTATCTCATCCAAAGCATCTCCTCAGCGTGTTTTGAGTGTGGCCCATTGTCCATTTGTCACGCAACGGTTGGAACAGCCCAGAGATACGTGTCGTTTCCTTTGCAGAGTTGAATAGCCCTATGACCAAATGCAGCTCCCTTCACCCCACAGCAGCAGCAGCAGCAGCAGCAGCAGCAGCAGCAGCAGCAGCAGCAGCAGCAGCAGGAGCAGCAACGACAACGACAACCACAAACCACAACAACAACAGTTTTAAAACAATGCACGTATGCCAGCAATGTTGAATGTATGTATAACTGGTTGGGGCATGGGCTCCGCCCCAGGAAAAGAATCGCCCACGCTTTGTCAGCTTGGCAAAAGGAAACCAAAAGTGGATGAGGTGCCCTCATGGTTAGACCTGCAATCATGCGTCCGTTTTTTCAACCTAAGCCGTTTCCCTCTCCCGAGATCCACCTTCGTCCTCCCCGACGCCTTCTTGCGCGGCTGAGGCACATCGATTCCACGAATCGCGGGTGGGAAATGCCTTACTTGGATGCGTTATGTAGAAACCCCGATTGCTCAGCCTAGCACCAGGATCATAAGCTTGCCAAGTTGAAGAGCCAGGCACAGAAGTTGTCATAGCTGAGTTGGTTGGGAGATGTTGCGCTTCCCGCATCAATGCTGGATCTACTGGCCTGGGAGCCCAACAAGATTGAGATCTTGCAATCCACATAGAGCTTCACGTGCATGAGAGCCTCCAAGGAGCCTCTGAAATGCTTGTCTCCCCTTCGGTGCATACCGTGCCACACGTTGCGTCTAGTAGAAACGGAGCCGGTACAGGGACACCTTTAGACAGTGTGTGAATCCCATACCTGACAGTGGATAGGAAGTCCGGCCGAATATGCTGTTGACTTGCTTCCCGTCGCACTTTGGAGAGACGCTAGTCAGGCTCAGTTCATGGGAGGCTCCCTTTTGGGATGGGCGAGCTTTGCGCCGCTTCAAAAGGGGAGATGGCCATTTAAGAATTTTAAGGCAACTTCTACGTGTTTGATAGCTTCAGAGGTTGACCTACCCCACGCGGATCACACCGCTTGAAACCGCGAGGGAAGCCATAAGGGCCCTAGAGTACCAATGCGAGGGAGAATTTAAAGCATTGGGTTTCCCCTGGGGTGATTTTTCATGGCGTGTATGTCAAATTTCACAGATACAGGCCGTCGAGCATGTGCCTTGATCCATCGGCTAGGCCACTTGCTCGGCTGGTCGTCTGCGTCCGGAAGCCTTCTCTTCGCTAGGCGGGCAGGTGCAAGTGCGTGTCTGGAACATAGGCGTCCTTTTTGGTTGGGGTGTATGCCCCATTTACCATGGCCATCTATGTGTCCAAAAGGCCACCTCTTGTCTGGAGCTTATCTGGTTTGTTCATCATGTTAGTACAGTTAATGCAGCAGGTCATTGAATGTATCTAAAGAATGTGTATTGCGTCTTTCCAGCATTTGTGCAAGGTGACAGCAGGGGTTTAGAAGGCTGCCGTCCTCTTGAAACAGTCTGTCCACTTTCAAAGCAGTTGGAAGCGGAGGGTAAGTTGTGGTTTAGATTTAGGGCTTTGGAGTTGCGATAGTAGGTTAATGAACTCTAGGTTTTGCATGATGGTTTTCCCGGCGGGCCTCACATTTGCTGTGAGTTATTGGCTTGTATACGGAATACCGAGAGTGGGATTCGATCGCCCTGACTGCAGAGACAGCTTTTGCGTTGCCTGCCTGCTTGCTTTCTTGCCTGCCTGCCTCTTGCTTGCCTGCTTGCTTGCCTGCCTGCCTGCCTGCCTCTTGCTTGCCTGCTTGCTTGCCTGCTTGCCTGCCTGCTTGCTTGCCTGCCTGCTTTGCTTTGTATGTTTGCTGGTTGGTTGGTTTGTTTTGTTCCCCCCTTGCTTGGTGGGTAAGTGGGAGTTGCTGCCAATGCAGCTCTCTCTATTCTCATGATGCTTTCAAGCTGTTGGCGGCCTCGGGCGTGCTTACCTTGGCCTGACGGGTTGATGCAAGCTGGCGGGTAGTAACACCTGTGCGAACATCAGGTTGTAATTCTCAGCGGCAACGCTTTTTCCCGCTAGGCAGTGGCGTGCTACTCATTTTACTCCTCCGGCCAGCTCGGACGCTTCGTTTGATCCACCACACACGTTCTCGTGGCACTGTGTGGCTCGAACGCGCAAACTTCTTGGTAATTGGTAGGCTCATACAAATCCCTGGTACGTTACAACAGCCTGGCAGGGCAACAACTTGGTATGTTACAAAGGCTGATTGCAAAGTGATTCTCACAGACCCCGCCTGGACTCCAATTGACCAGGTGACCAGACTGCCAAAGCCGGTGATTCTCAAGTTGCTCAGCAACCCCAACACATTGCAAGCGCGCGTGAGTTGTTGATCAATGGTTTTGGGCCCATCCCCCACTTACCGCAGTATTCGGTGAGCGGCTTTGCTTGTTCCCAAAACTTCGCTACGTGCTGATCGCTATGGGGGACTTTGATCCCACCGACTATGACGGCGCGAACATCGACCCGCTGAATCCGGAGGAGGAGGCAGAAGCGCCCAAAGGCCCACAGGCGGGGCTGGGTGCGCCAGGTGTTGTCCGGGTGTGCGTGGCTATGTGTCGAAACGAATCGAGCCGCTTGAAAGGGAACCGGCATGTGCCACCTTGATCTCCCAAAGGGGGGAAAGCGGTAAAGCAAAGCTTTTTGACGTTTACCCAACGGTGTTCCGTCCCTTCCCCGAGAAGAAAACAAAACGCCTAGTGGTTTCCCACGCCTGATTTTCTGCCCTGGGATGTCTTTTACAAAAGGGTTGTGGGCAACACTGTCAGGAAAGTGGGTGGTAGCCCGGATGTAGCCCGGCTCCCGAGTTCCCAGGATGTGCAGCAGTTGAAGGATGCAGTACTCTTCGCAGCATGGCCTCCAAGAGTTGCGGTCGGGACGCGGTTGGTTTCTTGAGAAAGCAGCTCCAAAAGATCCGGCAGGGCTCCTTCAATACATTTCGTGCCTGGTGGTTTTAAACATGTTGTGCCTCGAGTTCGAGTGAGCTTCCTCTTCAGTAAAACAACATATATTGGAAGGGGGGGAGGTTATTGGGAACTCTGTGTGCTAAAACAGGGGCAAGGCAAGTAAGATCCACACTGCTCAGGGCATAGCAGCCGTTCAAGCACCGATTGGTCACTGTCCCTCTCCTCCAAAAAAGCATCAAAAGATGCAGCCTACCCCCCTCGACCAAGCCTCAAATGCTACCATCATATGGTTTTGGGCAACCCGCAGTGAGCCCCCAAATAGCCATACGACGAACATGTCCGCTTCAGATTGTGACATATTGAAACATATGCTGCTTAATTAATGACGCTTAATGAATCTTCTGCTGTCGAGCAGATCCATTTGTTATGAGTGCTTTGGATGGCTTACTGGCCGCTCATCCCAGCAAGGTTGAAGTTGAGAATTTCAAAGTGCCATTGACCTCCACTTCGCCTGTCTATCTTTGAATAACGAATCAAGCCATGCCATCCCCGCCAGTTTTCCAGACAACGCATGGCCCACCCTCAGTGGTTTCCCGGCCCGAGTAGTTCATGCAGACCAGTACATGTCGTACACATGTTTCCCGCTAACCCCCACCCTGGCGATTGCGTTGACCGATGTTCAGATAGTTTCCTCTACCCCCAAAACACTAAGACAAGGGGGATATACAGCCACTATCCATAGAATGATTATTGCTCCCCAGCCATTCATGAGGAGTGTGTCTCTTTTTCCTCCAGCTTGCCGCCTGCCGACTCCACTCACTTCCCAAAAGTCACACCCCAATGGTTTTGGGGGTCAGCAGACTTATCCTTGCGGTTCTTGGTAGGTGTTTTGATTCTTGCCGGTTTGGTGCTGTTCATTGTTTTTCCCCCTTTTTCTGCGGACATTGCACGTGTGGGCAGTTATGAGAACTTTCTACGAGCCACAGTTTTAAGCCCAAGTTATTGCTTCCACTCTGCGAAGATGATCGATCCAATTGGCGAAACCTGATCACCTTTTGGTTTTGTCTGATTGGTTTCAGCTTAGACTTGGCCCGAAGGTCAATCTTTGTCTCCAGGCTCTTTCCACAAGGGGATAGTGTCATCTACTTTCTCTTCCATGTACCAAAATCCTATTTGGCGATTTCAGAGAGGATTCTACTACAGTGTTTAATGTGGGTTTCGGTAAGAGCTATATATTTTATCAGTACAACCATTTTGGTCTACAGTGCTTCCCATAGAGAAGAGGGATCCTTTCTTCACCATCCTGATTCAGAAGACCCTTCAACGGCACGTCCGCACCAACAGTCAACTCCACCTGGGCCTAGCCAAAAAGGCTTTGGTGTGGGACGGTGTGACCGAGTTCATTGATTTATAGGGGGGTGTCCTTCTTTTTTGTTCGGTTGGGTGAGTTGTGCAAGTTCACCTCCTTCCCTTCCTTAAGCCTCCAAAATTAGATCATACGTACTTTCATGCTTGTTTCGATGTATTTGCGTGCTTTCCCAGGTGCAAAACAGGCTTGGGAAATGATGGTGCTTGGTATCCCAGAACCCGCCAGAACAGCCCATTCGAGACTTCAGGGACCTGGTGAAAACCAGGCCATGGCAAGCGCGCCAAACATGGTTTTGGTGTGGCACCAAAAATGCGAGTCGATCTTTCCCCAACCAACCAGTGGCTTGTTTTGGTTGGGTTGGAGTTCGTGCGGCAGCTTTTTGCTTCGAACAACTGGGTGTTCAAATCCATAGCCCAATCCGAATCACCCATGTGCGAAACAACACAAGGGACTTCCAGAACTGGTTTGTTCCACAAACCGCCACTCCCTGCCAACTGGGGGACAGATGGCAATTTGCCAAATCTCGGGAACGGCAGATTTTAGGCCCCCAAGCCCGGACACCACGCCGTCAAGCGCCAAGCTTTGGTTTCTCTTTGTCGAGGTGTCCCTGTTGCCACTTTTCTCCAGACGGCCACTGGGTTGCAGTCCGTTTTAGTTGCCCTATAAAACCAACTCCAAAAATAGAGTGCTCTTTTCTCCCACTACTATGGGGTTGGATCTTCTTATCCTTCAGCAACCCCTTAAGACCAAACGGAAGCTGCGGATTGCCTCACTTGTAAGCTTGCCGAGTTTGCCCTTTGCACTTAACATGAATCTAAATTCTGATGTTCCATTCTTACCCATCGTTCTCCTTCTGTTGCCACCTATTTTGCCGGGGACTCAGATTTGAAGGATCCCTAAGAAACGGCCGGGATCAACGGAGACCATCCTGTAGCCTGGGACCGCCACCGCGTGTTGGGGTCGGAAGTCAGGGCCGCGAAAACACCCACATGGCTGTGGGTCAACAATGGAACCTTTTTGGGCGAGGTGAATTCACCACCCCGTTTTAGAACCTATTTTAGTGGTTGGATTGAATCGGATGTTCACTGAGGGTACGGAATTTTGGATTTTGACCCATGGCCGCATCTCAGTTGTTCAGTGGCACCAATTATTTTCCCCTTTTTTCTGGTGGCTGCCCCACTAAAACTGGTCCAAGCCCCAAAAAGGGTTCCCTTTTTTCCAGGGTCACTGAACCACTGAGTTCTGGCGAAGCTTTACTTCCATGTGCTGAAATGAGCATTTGTCCCCTTCGCGTCTTGCCTGAATCAACCGGGCCACATGAAAAGCCCAGACGCGGTTGGGTCGCGTCCCTGTCGCGAGGTGATCGATTGCTCGGCCTCTTCCTTGGAGCCGCTGCGCCCCAACGGCCGATGCCTCATGGCAGAGGCCGCCGACGCCTCCCACGGTTTTGCGCGTGGAATGATAAAAGAGATGCCGATTCCTGGTTTACCTGGTGGTGGTTTAATCACAGGGAAACCCATCTATTTGCCCTAAAAGGACACCTATGGACCTATGCTTTCAGGTCTTGGAATGGGGCACCCCCTGACCGGGTTCTTTCACCCAGCATTAGACGGAGTCTCAGGACTGTAGCGGTGAGGCATCTTTTGCAGTATGTTCTCACTCAATGTGACGGGGCAGCACCCAATGGTGGTTGTGGGGAAACATGTTTTACATGTTTGCTTGTTGTTGTTGTTTTATTTTTGGAATCCCCACTTAACTGCCAAATCTTTTTTTTGCTCCCCTTCCCTTGAAAATGGTAGTTGTCCGTTGGTTCCTTTAGACTTTAACTTTTGGGAAACCAATGGGGGTGTTCCACTAAACCCCCCAAAAAGTTAAACTTTTTGCAGGGGGTTAACAGCAACCAAGGTTCACCCCGAGACCCACCCCGTAAATGATGCCAAAGAGCTCTCAGCCAGACATTCGCTGAAGCGGGGCATCTCCCAACGTTGGCGGCATTTTGAAATGACCAGGGGTTTCGTTACGGCGCCCATGTCAACATCCAAAAGGCTTCCAAGTCTTAAGCATCCAGCTCGTTCTCTACGAAAGTGGGTCTTGGCCATCTTTCTGGAGGAATGCGGGGCTGCGGGGAGGTTCCTTGGGCTCATTCCGCGTTGTCCAGATGCCCTATGTAGCACCCATAACATGACAATATTCTATTCACAGCTCCCGCACCCCCAATGAGGCCTCATTCAGGTCTTATTTTGAGGAATCCTGGTGAGAAGGCGGCGGTTGCTAGGAGAGTGGGGGGGGGAATCAGATTTGTTTTGCTCCCACAAGCCTCGCTTTGTTCCATGGCCGAGGGATTTGCCTTTTTCCCCAAAGCGAAGATTTTCAGGGGTCTGGGGCTGTGGGTTCTTTCCGAACCCCAAAAGGGGCTCCGCAAGAGGAAATTTGTCAAAATGAAGCCACCAAGGGGACCGCAGGAATTGGTTCATGTTTCCACTTACCAGGGTTCCATTTGGGGTACCTTTTTTTGACCCACAGTCAAATGAGACTTCTAGAGATGGCATCTTAGTTCTCTGGGAAGTACTCAAAAGAGATGACAACCAATACAAATGGTTGTATCTGCTGAGTTAAGATGTCTTGAGTTACCTTCCGGCTTAAAGACGGGCGTTGTCGCTAGGCGCTGGCGACGGCGGCGGGAGTGCTGAAGACCAAAGTCATCACGGCTCCAGCGCCTCGGCAACTTAGAGCTCGCGGGCCGGGTGTGTTTCAGACGGATGAGCTCCATACTGTGGATGCACAAAATCCATTTCGCACCAGTTGGGATGCATGAAGCCGGACATATGGAATTATGTCCTTACGGAATGATACCCGCCAAAGGCGCCAAGACTTAATCCACACTTCTGCTTCAGCATTTCGGGAGTCGACTTCCCAGACATCAACTCGGATTCAGAGCAATCTGGAGCAACATGGCTTGCTTCTCAGTGGGGAATGACGGAACCCCGATTGCCCATCAACTGGAACCAACCAGCAGGCCGACCGATCAGTCACGATTGTCAAGCTGGAGCTGCCACCGCACCTTTACCAGCAGTCCACTGGTAGTACTGAAATTGGGTCTCAAGTAAGGTTGCCCACAACATTTGTTTGTGCGAAATTGGGTAAATCTCATCCCACAACGTGGGCGCAAAATAGGGTGGTTGATCTCAAACACGGTCTTCCACAACATGGGTGCGAAATAGGGTTGGCCTCAACAAGGGTCGCTCCGGTGCGAACAAGGTTCGTCTCAAGTTGGGTCGTTTACAAGGTGGGTGCGAAATAAGGTTGGTCGCAAACCGTGTTCGCCCCCGGAAGGAAGTTGGAGTGGTCTAGGCGTGTCCGCAACGAGGGCGCGAAAGGTGCGCCACGTGGGTCCCTGGGCTTTGGGGGCTCCACAGGGGCGCCAAACCAATGTTTGGCTACGGCGTGTCCGCGTGCGACAGAGGCCCTGAAAATGGAGGCCCCAGAAGGCCGTGTTTTCGGCTTCGGGCCTAGCTTTTAGGCTCGGCTCGTGCTTTGCCTCCCTTCTTGGCGGCCTCGTGGGACATGACCCATCGAAACGCTCGCAGCTTCGCAGGGCGCTGGCCCCAGTTGTTCACAGGCAAAGCAACGCGTGCCGTCCCAACTCTGCTCGGCCACGGGCTCCAAAGCCGGCACGCTTTTGCGACGAACTTTGTCATTCCCAGCCCAGAACCAGCATGGTTGCCCAATTTTGGCGGCGGCTCCTGACGGGATCATGACGGGGCCCATTTTTTGGAGGGGTCCTCTTTTTTGGTGCTGGGGCCCGGGGTTCGGTCAGCATATCCAGTAGTCCTGAACCAAGTTGCGAGGGACGTTCAGTGCTTCAGACCTAGGCCACGGGTAGCGAGCAACGTCCTCGCACCGCTGACAAGCCCATACATTTTCCGGTGCCCGCCAGGAAATGAGTGAGGTGGAGGCACCCAAGTTTTTCCCAGTTAGGGGGCGGGGGTGCTCGGAGGTACAGGCGCCGTGAGCCCAATTCCTTCGGGGGGGCGCTCCGAAGTTGGAAGGAGGACAAGGGCACCATCCCCAAAACGCGCAGCCAACCCAAGGAAGACAAAGTGGGAGTGCTTCTCTTTGGCGTCCGGGAGAAGCAGAATCCCAACAACTTCGAGGGCATCCGACTGCTGCATGACTTGGACCGCCCCACAGCGCCTTGGGCTTTTAAGTTTCGGACGGTCCAGGGGGCACGGAAGCAAATGGAAGTTTGGGTTTCCAAGTTTCAAACAGAAGAAGAGAGTTTGAGTAATGAATCCCCAAGCTGGGACCCTCAGTCCTAACTGGGACGAAGTCGAATCGATTTGCCCGCAGTTTTGGTCGAAACCTTATTTGGCAGTCCATGGTTCATTTGGCAGGGACATGCGGGAACATTCAAATTCCAAGGAAAACCCAGGGCCCTATAAGGGAACATTACCCCTACCCTCCTAGACAGGTTTAATCCGCGCCCCTCCGGTCAGAAGACCTTCGGAAGGTTCTGTGCAATCCTTTCGTCGTCTGGTCAATTAGGAAGGGCCACTGAATCAAGGACAAACCAGGTCCAAGTAAAGGGTTTCCCGCGTTCCCAGTTGCCAACTTAGAATCCGCTGTAGCCAGGGAATCGCTTAAAAAGTGAAGATTCACGCTCTTGGTGGCGATGCATGCACTTGTGGAATCCCGCTGCCATATGGTGGCTCTTTGACTCATAGGCCTTCTAGCCGATTTGGCACGCTCCATGGAAACAGGCGCTTTTGACTGCTGCGCTTTGTGTGCTGCAACTGGTCCTGATTCTACAGTGGCACCGGAGCCTGAGTTACGCGACCCTGGCATTTGCACGCGCATCCTGTGACACTCCGCACCCTGCAGGTTGCTACCGCGAGCACGCGATCTTCGGTGGCGTCACCTGCGCCGGCAACTGGGAGCTGGTGCTGAACGAGCCAGGCGGCAAGTTCGGCTTCTGGCACCTGGCTGCTGGGTATCACCCTCGACGCCTCCTTGACTTACCAGTTTGCTGGTCAGCTTCAGCGAGGTGTCCCTCTTTGTACTGTGCGTCGGCGTCTACCTAAGGTACCGCCGCCCTTGCCCGCCCTGGGCACCTTAGTTTTTTTGCGGCTTGTGGCCACCATGGCCGACGAAGAGCGTGGCGGTGGAGGAGCATGGGGGAAAGTCCCAACGTGGGACGGATCTCCGCTGACATGGCGATCCTTCAGGAGAGAGATGTCTTGGTGGCTGTCTAGCCTGGATTTGGAGTCGAGCGAGGTGAAGAGTTTAGCCCGGAGGAGCTCGCCTACAAGCCGGCGGAGACGCTTGACGACCCTGACACTGGCGAGACCTACCAGATCTCCAAGCCCGATTACCTGGCAGGATTGAACAAGTTGCTCAAGGCCCTGGAGAGCATCAATGGCCAGACTACTTTGGACAAGCGTGGTGAGCTCAGGACTGAGTTCTACTTGGAGCTGCACCGTCGTGCTGGAGAACGCGTCTCTGAGTTCTGCACGAGGTTCAGGTCCTTGGTGGCAGATCTTCGAGCTGAAGGAGTTGCTCTTCCTGAAGGTGAACTTGGGTGGTTCTTGAAGGAGAAGCTAGGCCTTGACGGGCTGAGAAAGCAGTTGCTGGAGACGGCCTTGCAGGGCCGAGAGGCCTACGATGTGATCGAGGCTGAGACGCTCAGGCTGTTCAAGGACTTGCATGTTTCGGACCCCATGCACCGCAGGTTTGATCGCCCCAAGCTCACAGTCAGGCGCATGTTTGGTGGTCCTTCCAACGCATCAACAGCCCCTTCAAGTGCATGGTCATCTGCAGCATCAACTAGGACGGCTTCAAGCATGGCTTCTTCCAGGCCCAACCTTGGTCCTCGACGGTTCCCGGCTGCCCGCCAAGTGAACTTCACGGAGGTTCCTGACGAGCCTGAGGTGGAGGCTCACGAGGATGAACCGGAAGCGGAGGTGGCTGAGCACGCCACGTTTGAGGAGGCGCTGGTGGCTGAGGCGGAGATCCTTGCCACGGAGCTGGAGCAGGCCGAGGACGAGGGCGTTGATCCCGAGTTTTTGGAGCTTGGAGTCCAACCTGGAGAATGCTGCTGAGGCCTTGGTCACTATGAAGGAGGCCCGGACAAAGCTTGCGGATGTTCGCAAGGACCGCGGATACGGCAAGGCTTCTGGCGACGCTGGGGCCAAGAAGTTTGTCCCTGGGGCGGCAGCCAGCCGCAAGGCGTCGGGGAAGCATCCTTGCTTTGACTGTGGCAAGACTGGTCACTGGGCTGGTGACGCTGAATGTCCTTCACCTGGCGCGGGTTTAGGCCGAAGAGCAGCTGCGCCCAAGAGCCGACCGGCTCGCCACGTGAAGATCGTAGAGCGTGATGAGAATGATGTGAATGCGGCGGAAGCCGGCGCTGTACATGAGGTTGCAGCCCTGGAGGTGCTGACCCTGGAGCAAGCACTCGCTGCCTCGAGCGGAAAACGTGCACCAGCGCTTTCACTGTCTGGCGACAAGCACCTGGTGGGGGCGTTGGATTCAGCCTGCAATCGCACTTGCGCAGGACCTGTGTGGTTGAAGGCGTATTTCACTGCTTTGCAAACTGCACCCCCTGATGTACGAGATTTGCTGACTTCGCAGGTTGAAACTGAGAAGTTCCGTTTCGGGAATGGCGGTGTGCAAACTAGCTCAACAAGGTGGAGGCTCCCCGCGGTGATCAACGGTCATCTGGTGTTGATTTGGGTTTCTGAAGTACCAGTAGATTCACTTGGTTGCCTACTTGGACGTGATGTTTTGGATGCCCTGGGTGCAGTGATGCACTTTCCCCAGAAGACACTCCAATGCCGTCTACTTGGCCCCGAACTGTTGGCTTTGGGACAAATGCTGGCTGGTCACTTCATGGTTAAGATGATCCCCGACAACTGGCCCTCACCTAAGTCAGCGAGGTGGCGTTCCCTGGGCTTGGACGGAGTTCTTACAGTGCAGGTTGGTTGTTCAGCATGGTTGGCAGCCCGCATCACTCGACACCTCCCCATTCCGCATCGACACGAACACCTGCTGACAGAACACAGTGTGATGGTGGCCCAGCTAGTTTTAGCACAGCATGATCCTTGCACCGTGGTGGCATGTGATCCTCAAAGCAGTACAGTTTGCCCATCAGCCTACTCAACTGCTGCGCCCTTGCGACATGGAATGCGGAAGCCACGTGGTGGACCGATGGAGGCGGTTCCTGTTGCGGTTGGAGGCAAGGTTCCTCTGGCACATCAAAGGCGTTCTGCTCTGGGTCGTGCAAAGGCCCTACTTGCGCTATGTGCCCTTTCCGTATCCCTCGGTGGGGTCAGTGCAGCAATGACCGAGAGCCATTCTTGGCCCCGGAAGCATTTGAAACGAGGCGTGGAGCGCTTCACAGCGGTGACTCTTCGAGAAGCTGCTCACTTTCGGGGCCGAATTGGTTTGCGGATGGCTTTCCTGGAGGATGTGACGCTGTCCGGAATCTTGGCAGCGAGAAGCATGCGTGGCCAGGCAAGTCAGATCAAGCGTCAGGCCATGCTCGAGACCCAGGAGAAAGCCAAGCAGGACCTCGCTCACAAGGCGCAACACAAGATGGTTCGCCAGATGGTTGGTCCTCGAGGCGGCTTGCCAAGCCTGAAAGCAGATTTGGTGCGCCTTGCAACGCTCCTACATGTGGAGGTGGGCACTGGAGACACCGTGGACATCATCAAGGGCAAGATCAGAGGACCTTTGGCCACCGTGATGAGTGCCTACAAGGATCAACAGCGGAGAGGATCGAGCTCTACGGCAACCTTGGCCACTCCAACGCCGGCGTCCACGAAGTCTTCCACAACCCGGTGAACGTCATGGGCATGACCTTGTCCTCGAACCGCGTCCCAACGGAGTCTTGGGACATGATGAGCAGCGCGGACCAGACGATGCCCGAGCAGACGAACCCTACAAGCTGAAGAAGGTGAAGGCAGGGATCAAGCAGATGGTGTCTCAGGCTTGGGATCGACACCGGCGAGATCAACTGGCTATATCGGCATCACGTGGAACGATTCGGAAGGTGCTGGACAAGCAGTGGTTACAGGAGATGGAGGACTATGCCGGCGAGACCTTCGTCATGGAATTGGACCTGCCCAGCCCCTTCGTGACGGAAGTGTTCACCTCGACCGAGCCGGCGGCCCGTGAAGCGGTTCGTAAAGGACGTAAAGTTGGCGCTAGGGTTGATCTTGGACACGGGGTGGGACTTCCTGAAGAAAGCGGACCGCGACCTGGCCATCCAGCTGATTAAGGACAATAAGCCCTACGCGGTGATCTTGGCGTTTCCCTGCAGTGTTTGGACGCCACTTCTTCGACTGAATCCCCCTCCTGAACTGCACCTACGACGTCGCAGAGCTCGCCAGTTGGTGAAGTTTGCCCGGGACATTGCCTTGCAGCAGTTGGAGTCCGGTGGAGTCCGGTTTGCACTTTGTCATGGAAAACCCGATGCAGTCAGAAGCTTGGCGACTTCCTGAACTACGAGCGCTACGGCAAGATCCCCGAGTTCGGGCTGTGGTGGTGGATCAATGCGAGTTTGGATTACGACCTCAGGATGGATCCGACCGCTACCACAAGAAGCCAACCCGACTGCTTACTAGCAGTCAGGCCTTGGTCTCGGAGATGACGGGGCGGCGATGTAAAGGTCTACATGAGCATGCTCCTTGCATGGGTGGAGTTCGCATCACCGAGCCGGCAGGACACTACCCCAAGGCCTTTGCGTCGGCCATGGTCAAGTCCCTGGAGAACCAGTTCGATTTTAAGACCAAGCAGCTCGTCGCGGGCCTGGAAGACGACGGCTTTGTTAACGAGACGCTTGCGGCGGAGGCCAAGGACAGTGACGTCGACGCGCCGGAGTCCGACTCCGAGGATGAGTTGATTGCCGACCAGGACACTGTCGACGGCAAGAAGGTGGTCATCTCGGCGGCGGTGAAGAACGCGGTGTACCGACTACACGAGAACACGGGTCACAGAAGTGGTCGACGACTCGCTCGAGCCCTACTTGTTTGTGGAGCTCCTCGTGAAGCTGTCCTCGCAGCCAAGAAGCTGCAGTGCTCAGTTTGTCGTGAACGGCAACCTCCAAAGGCTCGCAGACCGGCATCGCTGCCGGTTCCCAGGCAGGTGGGTGAACAAGCTCACATCGACCTCGTGATCATTGAGGACGCTTTCCAGCAGACGTTTGTGGTGTGCCACATCACGGACTCGGTGTCTCGCTTCCAGATGGCGGCAGTGCTGGAGTCGAAGGCGACCCAAGCGGTGGTGGAGTTTTTGCAGACCCAATGGATACCGTTGATGGGCCCGCCAAGGACATTAGTTGCAGACCAAGGACGTGAATTTGTCTCGTGGGAGTTTGAGCAGTTCTGCAACTCCCGCTCCATCTACCTCTACCACATCGGTGTTGGTGCTCCTTGGCAGAATGGTGTTGCTGAACGTTCTGGAGGAACGCTGAAGGCGCTGGTGGGTGCGGTGGTGAAGGCTCACACCATTGCAGGTCGCAGCGAGCTGAGCTTGGCCTTGGGTGAAGCTGTAGCCTCCTACAACTCTGATGTGAACGAAGAGGGCGTGTCGCCTGTTCAGGCAGTCACGGGCCGACAGCCCGTCATGCAGGGCGACGTGCTTGGAGGATTTGCCTCTCGACTTGCAGAACATTCCTTGATCGAGAGCAAGCCCACCCTAGCGCGCCAGGTGGCCATCCGCGAGACAGCTCGTCTGGCAATGGTGAGACTTCATTTTAGTCGTGGCCTTCGACGCGCTGAGCTTGCTCGAGCTCGCACAACCACGGTGGAGAACCTGCCGCAGCCTGGAGATCTGGTTTATTTCTGGAGGGAGCAGAAGTATGCCGGGAAGAAGAGTGGCTCTCGTCGCCGACTTGATCTTCGGCGATGGCATGGCCCAGGACTCATGGTGGCAATGGAGAAGCAGCGTGATGGACTTGATGGAGCCAACATCTTCGTCTCCTTCAAGGGTCAGTTGACGAAATGTCCTGCTGAACATGTACGGGCGGCGTCTTCGTTGGAGCAGATTTCCGCGGAATCCTGGGAGGAGGCCATCAAGGAGGTGATTGACGCAGCTGCTCAAGATGCAGAATTGGCTCTACCTGCTGTAGGTCCTGGAGGTGAAGCGCAACCCTTGGATGAGTTAGCGGAGTTGGACGACGACCTCGAACCACCTCATACACAACCAAGTCGTGCAATACCTCAACAGCCATTGGTTGAGCTCGGCGGTGTGGCGCCAGCCGAGATCGTGGCGGCTCTGCGGCCTGCAGTGTCGTCCGCGGTGACCCCCAGGTCATCCTGGCTGTCTCCATCGGAGAGAAGTTTGCAGAGTGGCCCGTTGAGCGGTGGAACAATGCCTGGCACTCCGATAGCTGGACTATTTCAACGTCGACCCCGGCTACAAGAACTTGCTGGTCAAGGTCAGACCATCGAGGTCGAAGATCCAGGTCGTGGAGTGCAGCGACCGGGAGATCTTCTTGAAAGAAGCTCGCAGGCATCCAATCCGCCGGAGCCACCGGCAACTGGAATGGCAATCTCGCCTGAGGAGGGCCGCGAAGCCTTCTCGGCCATCCGACTGACGAACGACGAGGTGCGCAATATGGTGGAGGCGTGTGAGAACAGGCATCCACTTTTGAAGGTGCAAGCCATGGCTGAGCTTGACCGGAGAAATCCGTTGGAGCACATGGAGAATGACCACGGCACTTGGGACGGCAGATGGTCCCAGCTTTGTCAGTCTGAATGGAACTTGATGCGAGAGTTGGGATTGCAGCTACCTCCCGGCAACGCACATCATGTAGATGTGGTGCAAGCGGCTCGCAAAGAGTACAAGTGGTCCGAGATGAATGCGGACCTCAAGAACCAGTTCAGAGAGGCGGCGGTGAAAGGCTGGAAAGCCTATGTGGACAATGCTGCGGTGGAGATCCTCTCCATGGAGGAATCTCGGAAAGCGCAAGAGAAGCTGATGAGGGCTAACGAGCAGGACAAAATATTAAGGCACAGGTTTGTGATGACCGACAAGAATGATGGCCCCTACCAGTACTGCCAAGCTCGCGTTTGGTGGTGCCCGGTTTCCGCGATAGAGCAAATTTGGATGCGGAAGGACGCGCCTACAGGGAGCAGGATAGCACAGCACTTGCTCTTCAACATTGCGGCCAGCCGGCCGGAATGGCCTTGATGTCGGCTGACGTCAAAGCCGCTTTCTTGAAGGGCGACCCACACCTGGCCCGTGAGCTGTACCTGATGGGCACCGATGACTCCAAGGGGCCATCCATACCGCTCAAGCCAGGCCAGCTGGCTCGTGTCCTCAAGGGCATCTTCGGGCTTGCAGACGCTCCTCGAGAATGGTGGATGCGTTTGGATAGAACGCTTCGCGAGAATGGGTGGGTCCGCACCCTCATCGACGGAGCGACCTGGCTGAAGTGGTCAGCCAACAACGAGCTCGAAGGCATCATCGTTGCTCACGTCGATGACCTTTTGTTCTGCGGATGCTCTAAAGCAGAACACAGTCTTCACAAGGTGGGTAGCGAACTTGGATTCGGATCCGTTGAGCGCAGTGACTTCGTCTGGTGTGGGAAGAGGATCAGACGGGCGTCTGACAACACCGTGCGCATCTCGATGAGCGATGACCACCAGAACTTGCAACCTGTGCTCATCCCAAAGTATCGCAAATCTGATCTGGACGCGCTGCTGACGGCTGGCGAACAGAAGCAGCTGCGTGCAGTGGTTGGGTCAATGCAGTGGCTTGTTGCTCAGCTGAGGTTCGACATGGGCTTCGTGGTGTCCTCGCTCCAGAGCGAGAAGGCGACTGTGCGCACCTTGATCAAGGCTAACCAGGCGGTGGCTGAATTCAAGCGAGATGTGCACTTTGAGTTGATCTTCCGGCCCCTGGACCTGAAGGAATGTGGCATCATGGTAGTGACGGACTCGGCGCTGGGCAATGTGAAGCTCAACGGCAGCGATGAGGGCAGCCCTTTGGAGAAGGTCTACTCTCAGGCCTGCTACTTTGTCCTCCTCGCGGACAAGGAGTTGCTCTCAGGCAGGATTCAACGTCTTAGATGCACGGTCACACCGCGTTGTCGCTCAAGCTACGCGGCAGAGCTCTTGGGCACGGAGGAGGCGTTTGATGTTGGACAGTTGTGTCGCGGTTTTCTGGCGACCGTCAATGGCTGGAACATGTCTGGACAGCAAGCGCTGAAGGGCATGGCGGCTGTGGAAATGTGCGTGGTGGTGGATGCCAAGGACGTGCACGACAAGGGCAACAGCGACACTCCGAGCCACGGCTCTCAGAAGTCCCTGGCTTTCACAGTGGCTTGGCTTCGCTCGCAGCTGAAGCAGCCTGGCACTAGTCTGAAGTGGACTTCAACAGAGAACATGTGGGCGGATGGCGGCACCAAGCTGATGGACTTGACCCACATGCGAAGAATCATGGCGTCAGGCGAATGGTCAGTGAAGTACTGCCCAGACTTCGTCAAGCAGGTGTCGAAGGCGGCCAAGGCCAAACCGGTGAAGCTTGCAGCAGGCGCTGAACTTCCTGGAGAGGCTGTTTCGGGAGGAGATGAACTGCTACCACACCAGATCGGGCTCAGCGACAAACGTGGCTGGCACTTCCAGGCGGGAGTGGGAATTCAGGTGGCTGTACAGGCTAAGAGTTTTCGGACGCCCGAACCTCGGTTTAGTGTGGCACAGTTCCCTTTTCGAAGTAGTTTCGGCCGTTTCGAGCACAGCACAGGCCAATGCGAATGGCGAAGGCTGGAAGCCTGTGTAAAGTTGGCGGATCAGCCAAATCAGCATGCGATGATTGGCTGCACGGTTCCAGTTTTGATCACCCTGTTCCACGCGGAACCTGACCTGCGGTCCTGGTGATGCATCGCTCGTCACCAACATAATTTGGGGGCGCTGAAGATTCACGCTCTTGGTGGCGATGCATGCACTTGTGGAATCCCGCTGCCATATGGTGGCTCTTTGACTCATAGGCCTTCTAGCCGATTTGGCACGCTCCATGGAAACAGGCGCTTTTGACTGCTGCGCTTTGTGTGCTGCAACTGGTCCTGATTCTACAAAAAGGTAGCCATAGAGATGGCCACGAAAGCATTACTTCCCACAACTCGCAACCATCATTCTGATCGTCTGGGGCCCTTCACTTACCTCTTAAAAACACAACTGTTCAACTTTTTGGGGGGTAACATGGGCTATATGTCTGTAAAAGATTAACTTCCCCAGGGCTTGGAGTTTTAAGGGGTAAGTTCAAACATGGCATGCCGAGGCCAGGTGACGACATGAGGGGACTCGAACAATGGCAGCAATGAGATTGGATTTCTATTGCTCGACTGAAATCCATGATCCACGGTGAGGTTGGGGTGCATTGTACTTGCCTTGTTCTACTTTCAATATGCACTTGTTTTCTAGTCCTGCGCGTGCAGCCCAAATGTGGGCAGGTCTGTGCACCCCACTTGGGCCCCATCAGACCCTGGTTAGATCCAGGTTAAGGACACGGTCCAGGCCATAGATCTGTGCGGCAAGGAGCACTTCTACTTTCCACCTCGAATTGAAAAAAATCAGACCGTAGCCTCTTGATATCCAAACCATTAGGCCAGCCATTCCTCACCACGGGTCCCGTGATCTTCGCTCAACCTCCAGGCGCATCGCATCAAGCAGTTGGAGGAAGAGGCCAAGCGCCCGCCCAAGCAGATGGAGGAGAGATACGGCGCCCCTGGCCTGTGACGAGGTCATGGCCCCGAAAAGTGGCCATCAGGTCCACGGGGCCCAGTCTCAAAGCCCCGGCTGCTCGGGCTTCTGTTGCGAGCCTGTGGGGATTCCCTCTTGTGCCTGCAGCCATTGGAGGGCATAGCACGATACGGGCGTTCACTGGAGATGCGCCAGGCTGCGGCAGGGCGGTGCCGGTGTCGGATGTCTTCTGGACCTCCACCACCATTTTCAACCTGGGGGCAAACCAGTGGAGCGCTGAGATTCTGACATGCAATTCTTGACATTCCCCAATTCCTTTTTTTAGATGTCGTAAAAGGAAAGCTGAGTCAGAAACCTCAGAAACCACTGATTTTGCACCGTGGGATCTCTGCCCCCCTTCTGGTTGCCAAAGGCTTGAACTAGAATTTTGCGTTTCAGAGTGACAGGGCTGAGACAAACTGACACCGCGAACCATCCCTGCACTCAGACGCGCATGCACGCGCATACCTACGCACGCACGCACTCAGGCACCCACCCACCCACCTGCCCAATCAAGCGAGCAAGCGAGCAAACAAACAAACAAACTAACTAACTCGCTAACTCGCTAACTTACCAACTCACCAACTAGCTAACTAGCTAGCTAGCTAACTAACTAAGTATCTAACTAAATAGCTAACTTGCACCATTTTACAATTTCTCGTGTATTTACACTTGCCCTGTCAGTATTGGCCATGTCCAGCCCCCGTAGTGAAAAACAGGGGTAATGTCAGAGTCAGTGCAGAAGTGGTGGAAGCAGAACGTAAAATTGAAGAAGTGCAGCTGAACTTCCAAAGTATAGCACCACCCAGACTTTCGCACACACCAAATCCTCTGCACGGGCACAAGCGAATGCACAGAGAAGACCTTCGAAAAGCTTTGGCCGTTTACTCAGTGGCTGCAAGGGGTGGAATGGGGTACCCTCTAGGGTATTGCGCCGAATGTTTGGTTGGTTCAGCAGACAAAAGGTCACACAAGCAGGCCAGTCTCAGAAACGGCTGTCCTTACGACTTCGCTCACCTACATCTTTAAAAAGTCATCTGCGCGACGAACTTCGCAATCAACAAACGCGGGGGATACCATCACGATATAGGCGGGACGATCGCGGCCGTGGCACCAGGCATACATTCGCCATGTGGGAAAAGAGGTCAGGCCAGTTTTGCCATGGTAAAATCCTGGCCTCCTTTCAAAAAGAAAGGGGGTTCCAGTGTCCTGGGGTACTTGAAGGCCGGGAGGAAGAGAATGCCTATTGGAACAGATCAGACATTGAGAGAGCTCGATGGCTCTGTAGAGCGCAGCCGTTTTGTATTTTTCCGCGTGCGTTCATTCTGGGTGCAACGAAGGCCTCATTGGGCAGGCTTACTTGCTCTAGTTGTTCATGCACGCCAACTTAGTACACAATTTAACACCGCGTGAAGACGCAACTCGAAGGCGGGCGTAGGCTCTTTCATGCTGACATGCGCCTCAAGTAGGCCGTCCCGCGTGGTATTTGCACATTGTGTGGGCCCGAGGCGCGCAAAACGCCACTTGGCGCTTTGACAAAGTGCTACTCACATCGCGAATGAGGGCAGGCCCTGTGATTCACCAGTGATGTCGACCCCGGATTGATAAACCCCTGCGTTCTTGATATGGGGGATCCCCTCCAAAAGTGGTCTGCATCCCCACTAAAACCTGGGACACCTTCATGGACACCTCGGAACAAACAGGTTGGTTTATTCATGGGTCAACATTCAGGTCGCAGTTCGACTGCCGGATCTTCCTCTTTACCTGCAACGACTCGCCGGCAGCGCCGGCGGACGAGGTGCAAGCAGCACGGACTCGCGTCCAGGTGGGGGCGCTGGTGTTTTGACTCTGCTTTTTGTAGGGAAATTCTGGTTAGTTTTGGCGAAATCAGTTGGGGGAAAACAAGCTCACCCAGAATGAAGGCCTTCACTTGAGGACTCCTGAATCAGGCTGGCGGTGAATGATTGTACCAAGCTCACGAGAACTTCATTAAGCCCCGGACTGGTTCTTCTCTTTGAGTGGCCCATGAGCATTTGGTACAAAAGGCGGAGCAAAGGATCAACCGCTGTTCTTGCTTCGTTCCTTTCGAGCGGAGAATCGCCGACGTCAAGTGCTCTTTGCACTCCATGCCCAAATGGGAAGCGCACCCGGGAATCTTTATGCTATGACTCCATCACCGGCACATGGCAAGCAAAGAGGGGAGGCTGGACTGAGAAGCGCATGCATGGCCTTCACGGGCCTCGGGGTGTCTAAAGAAACCCTGCATTGACGCTGGCAATATCCACGCATATTATATATATATATACAACTCAACTGACATCTGGTTGTTTGGTGTCCTCGTTTGAGGGAGCTCGGCAAACCATGCACGCCATTCTCGAAACAACTGGCGTGGTGTGTTTTTCTTGGGCTGTACGTCTGACCTTGCGGTTGCATTGCGCGATTGAAGGGCGAACCAACAGCTGCCCGCATCGGCGGCTTGTGAATGCATGTCCAGGACCTGATGGACATGGGGGTTGAGATCGAGTTCTTTCCTCTCAGGTTTGAAGACAAGGACTTCTGAATCCATTCAGATCCCAAGACATTGCGAATGAATCAGAGGTGGAATCAATGAGTTTGCTTCAGGTTGGAAGCTGTTTATGGGAGGGGAGTGTAGTCAATATAGGATTGGTCAATCTTATGAAGCGCCCCGGCCGCTGGATCTGGACTGAGCGAATTGCCAGGTCCAAAATCACAACCATACTTGTCAGCAGCATGCCAGCAGAGTACTGAAGAAGTTTCAAAAGCCACTACGTGCACACAAGTATGTCGTGTCCAAAAGCTAGGGGGATTGGTGGGTTCTGAGAGGTTGCCTCAAAGACACTATCCTGTTCTTAGCGTTTTCTCCGTTATCTTCCGTGACAGGCCAGATCTCATTTGCATTACCCCGGACCACCCAAGCCAAGTTTGTCACATCCAAGCTCACACATACTTTAGGAAACCATTCAACTGCTTCAAGGCGGGTCAACCTGTGCGCTTGTTCCATCAAAAACAGAACCAACAACCCGAACACATGGCACTCTTCTCGCAAAAGGCTTGGCAACAGCTGCCCTGCACCTGGCCAATGTGTTTCTCCAAGAAACTGATCTTTTCCGGGCACCCTCCCTCAGGTGCCATGAAAATTATTGGGAGGGAGGGTGCCATCTTCCTTTTTGTTCCCCTCTTTTTTTTTTGGGGGGGGGGGTGCAGAAAAGCCGCTCAAGATTAACCACCTGCATGTTGTTTTTTTCTTCGCGATGGGGAGACCGTCGTCGACCGCCGTCGACCGCCGGTTTCGGTCGGAGGACTTCGCCATCGACCGGTTCTGGGGGAATCTGCTCCCGGTGGACGAGGCGGACTATGTAGACCGAACCGCGCTGCGATTGGAGCAGCTGGAGCGGTGGATCCGTCGGCTCGAAGGGCTCAAGCCGCTTGGGGTTGCACCACCTGCCTCTAAGGGTCCCTAAGGGAAGCCCCAAGGAGGTTGGCCTCTAAGGGTCTCTAAGGGAAACCCCAAGGAGGTTCAAACAAGGTGTTGGCTGAACCCTGGATCTGAATGATTCCTTTTAAGGAGGTTGCATGGTAATTACTTATTTTGCCCGAAAACCTTTGGACACTCTATTTCGTTTGTGCCCGGAAACCATAGAAACCTAATTCGTACCGGAAAACCAATTACATTCAACCGCAATAGAAAACCAATTCCTTCCTTGCTCAAATCTGCCTGCTTTTGGTTTGGAAACCTTTCGCAAGGGGGAGTCTGGGAAAAAAGGAAACCCATAAAACCTCCTACAAATCCCATAAAATCCCATACGAATCCTTTGTTTTTCCGAGAACCAAGTTTTTCCCAACCTGCACGACAACCGTACAATCTCATAAACATGCCGTACAAACCCATACGCAATTTGGGGGATTTTGAGCCTCTGCTCAAGTAGCTTTCCAGGCCCGAGCTGCAAAATGACTCCCACGCGTTTGTTACTACCGGCATCTACCAGCTGTCGGGTGTTCAGGGTGTGTATTAGATTCTTTTAGACTCACTCCAAAAATAGTCTTGCGACGTTTTGAACAAGCCTGCCTGCGCCCGTGAGAAGCCCCACGATCAATGCCTTAACGCGGGACTTAAATTAGTTGTCGAAAAAAAAATAGCATTTTGCAGGACGCCCCTCCAGAATTACAAACCGTACGAGCGTTCCGCAGACAATCCCAAGCAGATTGCGTTAGTGCCATAGGATATATGCATACACATGCAGTACCGCTTGCGTTAAAACGGGACTCCTGTTTGCCCTTGTCAGAGAGTTCATAATCCAATGTTGTCTTAAACTTGCCGAGCCACGATCTGGGAAGCCTTCCCAAAGAAACAGATTGACCAATGTTTCTTGGATGGGATTGCTAGATGGTCGTGGGGCGTTTGACCGGATGTAAGAGAGCCAACAAAAGGAGCCTGTTGAGGGAACAACAGCCATACCGCACGCAAGACCATTCTGCTTATAATAAAAACTTGGGATTCCCTGGAAATACCTGGATATTTTGCCATACCTTTAAACTAATCGGATATTTGCTCAGAGGGAGCTCCCCTTTCCACTAGTCACTATAGATGCTAGTGTCGTTGCAGATCGCGTCGTTTGTGTTTGGCATTTTGGATCGGAAACCCACGCCCAAATGTTGACATGCGCAGTTAACTGCCTTTGTGCGCCTGAAGGATTGGGACACATCCTGGCAAAACTCATCACCTGAGAGCGCCTGTTTCTTTTCTCTTTTTTTTGGGGGGGGGAGGGGCGTCCCTTGAAAATCTACCAAACCGAGGTGCCCTTTCCTTTTCCCCCACTGCCTTCCCACGTACTCCGACGCATGCGAGGAGCGGCGGATCCGCATGCGAATCCACCGAAAGAGGACCTTGCAGCGCCTGGCTTTCTACGTTTGCCCAGGCCCGGGATGCGCCCGGGATGGGTTCAGCCGATCATTTGGAGAAACAATTGCACCAGGGATGCAAGCCCTGTGAGTAATTTCGGGTTGACTTTATGACAAGGCACCAGGTGCGACATCCGGACAGTATCAGCGTATCAGCTGCCCGGCTTTGGATTTGTCTTGCTTGTTTCTGGGTTCAAATCCTTTCCCATGGCCAAGAACCACACAGCTGTTCCGGGATCAGAAAACAGGTCTCGGCATCTCAGCGCACCGCTCAAGGGCTGGGCGCCCTTGGCTGCCCAGTCGGCTCACTGAAACAAAAAACAATCCTCCCCCAAAGCCACAGCCTCAGCCGCGGTTGTTTGGTCACCATTTTTTCCTCTTTGTCTTGGCTTAAGTGGTGCACCCCCAAAAGGTCTCCTTTGTCTACCGGGCTTACCGCGGGTGTTGCGACGGGCATGGGGCTCGGTTCCTCAGACTTGTTTGATTCAGTTTCACCCAAACAAATCCACACATCCAAAGGGGTGTATGTCTGTGCGTATGTGCTCGTACCTTCGGACCCCAGGTCCGGTCCAGGCCATTGAACTTGTGAAACCTGCGGCTCAAGCCACTTTGCCCCCCCCCTCTCAAAATGGAGTAACTCAGGGTATGATGGGTAAATGAGCCTTACCCTACCTGGAGTCTCCATGAGCCTTCACAAATGGGTCAATGACCCCCATTTTTTAAGGGTCATGGAGACTCCGAACTTGATTGACGTTGGAAGGGGGGCAAATAATTATATATTTGCTGAGAAAAACACCATGGGTGTTCCAAGCCCAAGTCACATACGTCCAGAAGTCGGAGGCTTAGCTGCCTCCATGAGGCGTCAAGCCGCTGGTCAAAGCCCCAGGCCTAGAGGCCTCCGTCTCGGTCTTCGTCACCATGCTGGAGGCCAAGGTGCCTGCGCCGGTCTATCTGCTCAACGCGCCTCGGCCACCAGCGAAACGGAAGCGGGGAGTCTCTCAGAAATGTCGGCTTTTGTTAAAGGGGAGGCGCCCTTTTTATCTGAGGAGTCCTCTGCAAATGGAGGGTTTGTGTGGGGTGCCATGTGGTGAGTACTTGCTCCTACAAATTTGTTTGGTTGGGTTGCTTAAAGAATAGAGGCCGATTCCTGGTTTGGATGGGGGTTATGCCCCATTAGCCAGGGCCATCTATTTGTCCAAAAGCCCATGCTGACTTCCCGAGTGTACGGACGAGCCTAGGCTTTGTTGACAAGGACGCCTAATGAATCCGAACGAGTTTGCGCCGCGAACTTTGCAGGTAGAGCCTCTAGAAAGCATGCCGGTTGGACTGTTGGAGAAGTCATAGACGTGTGTGTTCCCATTGCTGCGGAAATGTCCGCCTTAGTTCTTGAAGCATGGTTCTGGGTCGACCATTTTAATATCACCCGGGTTTTGAGCAAGTGACTCATTTGCACAAGCGCAATCTCCGAGGAAAACAACAAGCCCTTGAAGGCGGAGACGAAGCAGATCTGCGAGCAGACCGGTGCTTTGCTGCACCCAGTGGATGACATCGCCACTTACGTGGAGGCCGGCGAACGGAATGAAGGCTTGATTATGAACACGTTTTTTCTGTCACACACTTACACTCAATCAGAGAATCAGTAAAGAAGCAAAGTGTCAGTGAGTGGGTCTTCTTTTTGGCTCGCCCCATGGCATGTCCGTCTTAGTGTACTTTCAAGGGCTTTGAGGATGATTTAGGGATTGCATGTTGCGTCCCGGTTCGTCATCCCATCCTGGCTGCTACCTTTGTGACCCACAGGTTAACTACTAGAAACAGAGCATTTCTTTACAATCAAGTGTGGCTTGTTGATTTTATAGTTGTTCCTCATGGTTCTGTCTTCTCCTTCATTATTCGCCTCTTCATGTCCTCCCTCTGTGTGAGGGAAGCTTACATGAATCAAGGTATAGAACCAGAGGTAGGAAGGAGACAAGCTTTACTTTTGCCGGAAATAGATGATGGAGGATATTACTTCCCCAGAATTAGTTACCCTTTTTAATTTGTTGCTTTTTTGGGGTTCGCTTTGTTTTCCACTAACCAGGCAAAAACAGATATTTGTTTGCTGGGATCCTAATTCCAGCCTAGATTAGTTGTGCAACAGCTGACACGTCATCAGGGTCCCTCAAAGTGACCATGTTGAGGATGTCTCACCGTTCATTCTTGGGGCTGGTTTGCCACCAAACCCACGAGAAAAAATTAAGGGAAGGGTGCTCTGAGAGCCCAGTTCTGCGGCTGTCTGAAACCAACACCACCAGAATGGTGGATTGTGTTTTTTTTTTTGTTGGGTGTGTTGCTTGGTTATTTGTTTGTTTGGCTGGTTGGCGTGCTTGTTTGCTTGTTCGTTGTTTGGTTGGGTGGGTGGGGGTTATGGTTTGTTTGCTTGCTTGCTTGCTTACTTGATTGCTTGCTTGCTTGCTTGCCTGCTTGCCTGCTTGCCTGCTGCTTGTTTGTGTGTTTCTTGGTTTGTTTGTTTTTTGTTTTTGTTTTTTTCCCGGCTGTTCTTTGTGTTGCATGCTGTATTTGTTTCTTTGTGGGTGTTTGTTGTGTTGTGTCTTGCTTGGTTGCTTGCTTGAATAAGTCAAGTCTTACTTGTCCTTAGTAAGCGTCATTACACCCAAAGTGTGGGCCTACGTAAGTAAGCCGAAACAGTTCATATTATGTTGGGTGGGGCCCTCCTGTTGATGCGGGGCATGCCAACGAAACATGAGGTGGGTACAGTGGGGACTAAATGTTGTGTGCAGAAAGTGTACATCCTAAGTTCCTAGATAGGGACCAGAATCAAACATATCGGTTTTGGCTGGGTATCAGAGTTTCGGGGTGGGATGTGATTGTGGCATATTCTGGGTTGTTCAACCTCGGTTGTTGTATCATCCTTACAACATCTGCTAGATGGTACTGGCTTCGCGTTTGTTGGAATCCACCGCTACAGGCCTTGTCCGCAGCCATGTCGGCCGATTCCCCTCATTCCCGGTGCGGCCGATGGATAGGCCGAAGAGCACGACCAGGCCACGCGGTTGATACGTTGTCGGAAGCGGAGGCGTCCCAACCTGCGAAACCCTTCCTGCACCCTCCAAGTTGCTGCGCGCCACTCCCCTCCTAGCTTTCAGCTGGGAAAAAAATAAGCTCAGGTGATACCCCTAACAGCATGCGGTGCGTTTTTTAGTGCTCGCACCACCCCGAAGCCCTCGCAGAACCTGGTGGAACCTTCGTGGAACCCTGGTGGAACCCTGGTGAAACCCTCGTGGAACCCTGGTGGAACCCTGGTGAAACCCTCGTGGAACCCCGGACCACCCCGCAGCCTACCGGGCTGAGACCCCAAGGCTTTCAGCTGTTGGGGGGAAAAAAGCTTGGCTTGCTGGGAACACTCAGTTGCAAAGTCCAGCGTTTGACGGGGGCCATGCATACCCGCCTAAGGGCAATCCTTTGAAGTGATGTCGCATTGGACGAACCTGACAGGAGCCTCTTGGGTCATCTACGCCATCACGGATGTAAGGACGCTTCACTGGGAACTTTTTTGGTTCAGCGGGGAATCGGCGTGAACGCAAAGGCTCGACGAGTGAATATGGCTGTGGGTAAAAGCCAATGGTACCATGTTGGGGTAGGTGCACTAGGTGCACCACCCATTTTAGTCTATTTTAGTGGAGATTGGGATGTTCACGGGGTTTTGACCCATGGCCATATGGGTGCGACGCCCCGCTTGAAGTGAGTGATGACCATGCTTCTCGGTGAGAATTGCTCCCCTTGCCTCTTGACTCAGCTCTTGCTATTATCAGCGACATGATGGAGTTGTGCATTTAGTTGCCCCGTTTGCGCATGGTAAGTGGGCGGTGGCCAAATGATAGCGCAGTTGTCAGATGGTTTAGGGGTACCTTCCCCATTCTTTCCAGGGATCCTTCTTGCTAGCAAACCTCAAGAACCCCAGTGAAAACGACCTGTCATTGAAAAAAGAATGGACAAGGAATCAACCCCTAGATTTAAGCCTGGGAAGTCAGGCAGATGTCTTTGAAGCCTGACGAGCTGCAGGACAGCACCGCGAAGACACGCGGAGCGCAGGACATCTCCAGCATTTATCAGGCGCGTCGCCCTTGGCCTGTCGCGAGGCTGCCTTGGCATCCTCCTCTTGGCATCAGTTGCCCTCGGGCATTCCGCCCTCTTTTTTTCCCAGCTTTTTGGTGAGATTAGTTCATGCTGTAAACCTAAACGCGCAAGCTAGCTGGAGTATGCTGGAGTCTTTCTTGCAAGCAATGGGGCCAGTGATTCCCACAATGCTGTGATATATGAAAAGTGCGCGCGAACTCCGGTCCAAGAAGCTTGGCTTCGGATTTGTGCCACCAAGCCTCCCCTCTGCCCTCTCTTTGCGTTGCTCTCCTTTTCCGCACTTCTCCCCACTCTTCGCTCCGCTCTTCTCTTCGCGGTATTCGCTCCTCTCTACTCCGCGCAGTCTTCGCTCCGCTCCTTTCTCCACTCTTCCTCCATGCTCCTCGGCCTCCTCTTCTCAAGGCTTCTGCTCAGTCTTCGCTCTCCTCTTCTCTCTGTCCTTCGCTCCGCTGTTTCCTTCATTCCGTTCGCCGCTCCTTCCCACCGGCCTTGCGCTCTTTGTTGCACTCTGCCATGTGTCATGCACATAGGTGTCCCTTTTAGGTTAGTTTGATTATACATAGATGGAACTGCTTTAGGTGGGGTTTCTTCCCTTTACCAAAACCATCTACATTTCCAAAAGGCTACCTCTGGTTATGCGCATGGTTGTTCGACTCCTCCTTTTAGCCCAGAGCAAGGACCAGCCTAATGAGGACTCAGGGTCCATTCCTGCCCAAAGTCGGCCGACGCTGGTTGACCAAGCACCGGCACTAGCTTTCGTTTGCCTGGTCTCAACTCCTCAGAACGCTGCACCAGTTGATGCCTGGCGGGACGAAGCTCGTTTCGTCAACTCCTGTTTGCCCATTTTCCTGGCGCTGTTCTTGTGGCCTATGTTTAAACCTTACAACCAATGGTTCATTGAAGTCGGCGGTTTAAAATAAACACCTTCAAACAGAATTATCCAATATTTCATCAGATTGATTAGTTCAGGGTGGACATTGCCTAACATGCCCAGGGCCTTTTGAACATTCACCCGTAGTGCGCATCGTTTGCGGGATTTTCAATGTTGAAATCGGCCGGGCTTTGTATCGCATTTGTTTTCCCCCTCTCAGCAACGCAGGGTGGCTCCTAAGGCGGCAAATTAGCCAGTGGTATGGTTATTTAGGGGTGGACATGCTTTGGCTGATTGGTTGATTAGTTGATTCATTGATTGATTGATTGATTGGTTGGTTGGTTGGTTGGTTGGTTGGTTGGTTGGTTGGTTGGTTGGTTGGTTGGTTGGTTGGTTGGTTGGTTGGTTGGTTGGTTGGTTGGTTGGTTGGTCAGTTAGCTGGATATGTTCACCCGGCTCATATTCCATGTCCTCGTTCCGTCGAATTCGCGAGGCATTGGTTTCAGACGGTGCTCTTGGCTGCCCTTGGCATGTTTTGGTTTTATGTATTTGTGTGTGCTTGCTTGAATGGAATGTTGAGGGGTGTAAATTGCACAAGTTTCACTGCTTCGCTGGCTTACTCTGTTGTTGTTTTCTTCTTCTTCTTCTTTTTTTTGGGGGGGGGGGTGCACCGTAGTAGCAGCACATGTTTGGGGGGGGGGGGGGGCTTCAACATTCCTATGTTTCCTTGTGTTTTGCGGCCATCATGTTAGAGGTTATTTTTCTCAGAAACAAGCTGCATGGGTTTTGGTTTATATCGGGAAAGTCGCAAGACAACTCTCTCATCATTTTGGGTTGACTCTGATGCCCATCATTGGTTGGTTGGTCTCGGAGAATGAGAATGCAAACCTTGTATCATTGAGTAATTCTTGGTTGGTTGTTTACTCTCATCATTATCATTACATATGTTGACTCTTGTTGGTTGGTTTGCTTGCAAACCTGGTCGTTTTTCTCCAGTCTCGGTGCCCCAAAACCCCCAGGGCCCCAGGACCCGGGGACTGAACGAAGCTCCGAGGTGTGAGCCGTGTGGAAGATGCCGTGGCCCAGAGCGACCTCGCAGTGGCGGCGGTGGACGAGAGCCGGACCTTCGCGTCCCCAGGCTTCGAGGTGGGCCAGGGCTCGGCATTCTTTTTCTCGTAGCGCAGCCGAGTGCAGACACGACACCCAGACACCCAGTTGTGCAAAAGTACCCTTTCACCTATGTGAACATGTTGAAGGTTTCTACAAATTACTTTCTTACGGTGAAATGTTGAGAATGTCACTTTGATGACCCCAAATAATTTCGGAACCCCAATCAAGTCTTTCTTCGCATGGGGTGTTGCGTCCAAAAATGGCCTTTAAACCCAATCAATTGTTTTCGTATCCCTGCAAACGGCTTTGCGGGTCCGTCCTGAAATTTACTGTTTCTGGCCTGGCCTGATATGGGTTTGTCTTTGAAGTTTGGTAGCCTCTTATGGGCTTGGATCAAAGGGAATCAAAGGAACCTGCACCATTTCTGTTGGGTGGGGTCACATGCTTGCCCCGGCAAGCCGATGAATCCAATTATTGCTTAATCCGAATTTGCTCTAGATCGCAAAACCAGGGTGTTGCCTTCTGGCCGGGGAAGCCTTGGATTCATATGTTTGCACACCAAAAGCGGTCTGTGGAGCCATATTTGTGATACTGAGAGCATCGCTTGGAAAGCTGCAACATGGTTGTAGGGTGTCTCCAAATGGAAGCCAAGCAAGCAAACCATGTTGAGGGGGTCCACTCTCCACACATGGTTCGGTTCAAAGTAGGGGTGCCTAAGAACCAAACAGAGTGCCCTCAACGAAAGACAGCCCCACATCTCACGAAGACAGAGACCCAGGGCTGGGCGGTGAGATGACGCTGAATCACAGGTCGGGTGCCACTTACATGACCTTTCCCAAATCCTGGAAGTGGCGATCTCAATGCGTCTCAATGGCGAGCCGAGCCAAAAAAAATCAAGTGGGGGCCGATTTCCCGGGGCTGGGGAAGAAAAAATCGGTCGGGCCTACAAGGTTTCTTTCCCCTTAAGCTATGCCCACGGATGGTGGATTGGGATCGGATCCCTCTTTGAACAACCGAGATTTGACCCCTGAAACTAGCATTTAACATCAGGAGGGGGCGCTCAGAAGACTCAGTTCAGCAATTCACTACCTTTTTCACCACATCTGGGGAGGGGGGGGGAATGGTTGGACAGTATGTTGAGCAAATGAAAACGTGAGTTAGTCTTAGCAACGCAGGAGCTCTTCGGCTATTCTCTGAATGAGCTTCAAGGTGCAAGCCTCCTGCGGCTGCTGTCCGGAGGGGCAGTTGATCAACAGGAGCGATGGGATAGGTGTCCCGGGAACCCTGCTTTGGCTTTCCCTCCCAAACGACCGCGGAACCTTACGAGCCTTATGAAGTTGTCCAGGAGTTTCCCTTTTGGGCATTTCATGTCAACCTGCGCCACGTTCTCTTTTACAAGCGGTTACCTTCGTTTAAAGTGGGAAACCAGAATGGAAACCAATAGTTGTTCAGGTTCCCCTATTTTTTGTCCTGAGGAACTCCTTTTGTTCGGCTTTGAGAATTTCAGGGCAAAGCAAAAGGCTCCACACAAAAGCAACCTAGGGGGGCCCTCCCAGCCCTTTTCGCAGGACGCTGGTCCTGTCCTACCCTGGGGTGGTCAACATTGGTTCGAAGTATTCCGACACAAAACAGTTGCTTGGGAACCGCGTTTCGAGTTGAGTTGCGATTGGTTTCTTCAGAGTCGTTGGCCATGTTTGGCATGTTTCTGAAGGACCAACCTTGGTAATATTTCCCGATTTCAGTTAGCGAGGCAACACTAAGCACCCCTTTTGCAGTATCCTCCCCCCCCCCCACGCCGAGTGCCGAATTTTTGGGGCCTGATGTCAAATCCCAGAAATAGACAAAGGGTAGCTTGTATCTAAGGGCCTGAAAACCGGACGGCCTGTTCGCTAAATGGTGAGGCACCCCCTTAGGAGGGTTACTGCTTGTGGGCGTTGACTGGAGGGAAAAAAATCACTCACATGGCAGTTCCGATCCGTCTCTTCTAAGTCGGCTTGTCGAGTGTTCGCCCCCCGAGGCCTTCAGGAGGGTTCAGAAGTCGCCCATCTGAGGGGGTGGCCTATATTTCTAGGGCTACCTTCCAGTTCCATTCTTAACCCAGGGATCCGAATCTTTTCACAAAACCATCCAAAAGGTTGGAAATGGATCCACTTGTTGAAAAAAGAACGATGGTTGGTTAAAGAATGGTTGAAGGAGTCAACCCCTAGAGAAGCATGATACTTTCTGCGTACCCCCCTTTCTTGTGTCTTATGTGATATGAATCAACCCCTGGAATATTTTCGGTCCATACTCCATACATTCGATGCAGGTAGAGATCTATTCGAACCTGGCCTCGTCGTCGTGGCACCTCATGCATCCCCAGCGCTGCGTCCTCCAACGCAAGACCGGGGAGCTGGTGGACACCCAGGTGCTGATCCGAAAGTTGCGCCTGTCAGGCCGCGATGCTTTACTTCCATCTGCTGAAATGAATAGTTTGTGTCGATTTTCCCCCTGGTGGTGTTAAAGGGAATCTATCACTACTGGAAATACCTGTTCTTTCCAGAGGACTTAAGCAAATGGAGGTTTACAGTCAAGAAAAACCCACCGCTACCACCCTTCATCATATGGTCCCATGGTTGTCAACAGAGGGCCCCCAAAAAAAGCACTCAAAGAAAGCCTGGACCCTTGACAACCATGGGAACATGGCTGTGGACATTTGTTTTTCTTTAATGATCTATGGTTGAGGCCCCAACCCCCGCGGAGGATTCACTACAGCTTACTTGCCAGTTTAGGGAATCAGCTAATGGAAATTCAGGATTAACCCCGGGTTGATTCATGAGGTCGTGTCCCATTGTAGAGGCATGCTTCATGGATTTGAACAAAGACCCGCGAAATAGCACCGGGGGGATGGGGGGGAAAGATGACGGGTTGATCCATCCGCCGACAAAGCCCGAGCAATCAGGCCAGAAGGAGGTGATGCTTTTCGTCTTCGGCGAAAATGTGCTTGAGGTGGAGGCGTTGTTCCTTTCCTGCGGGCGCTGAACAAATTGAATCGCAACCGCAGGCAACAGCTGATCTCCATTCCAGAGAGCAACGAGAGCTCATAGCGCTGCCCTTGCACCCCGGGTGGGGCCGGATATTTTTGAATATGACAACTGTGCTTCCCTGTGTGCGTGCCATGTGACACAGACTTGCAGTTGCTACTGCGCGCTTGGCAATCCAACAGGCACACAGACAGGGCTGGCGCAGTTTAAGCCGTCTGTCATGCCGGTTCGCGGCCTGACCTTGGCGGCCTGGCTCGAACACAGGCATTCGCTGGGCTCATGACTTCTGCCTGCATCTCATACGAATTTATGGAGTTGTGCTCAAGGGACACGCCTTTCGGGTTGCATTCGGTTTTGAGTTGCTGAAGCTATGGTTTCAGAGCACGGGGTAGACACCCGCCGCTACTCAGACTGGAAAGAAAGGTATTGTTTTGCCTGGCACAGAACTGGCAGCAAGATCCTAGCGAAGCCAAAGGTCATGTCCCTTCTGATTGCAGGGATGGGCGGAGGTGCCACTTTCACCCGCAAAAGAAAAATCTCAGCGACTTCAATCGATATCGTTTGCTTTCGCCAGTGCCGCACACGATCTGAAAGGGCACCTCCGCTTTGCAGGCCCCGTTTTTACCAGGCGAAGCCGCCTGGACTAGGTCCCCCAGTGTCCTTTTACCAACGGCTTTTTTTGGGGGGGTTGGGAGGGTTCCCATACTAAAATAGACGACGGACAAAAAAAATCGGGCACCCTTATTCTAACCTCTCTGCTGGAGGACCTGGTGGAAGTTCCCTCTTTGCCTCTGTGGAACGCCGCTGGGGCTTTGATTTTTGAATCGGGACTGGGTGGCCAGACCCGCAAAGAAGTGTTGCCCAAGGGCTACCTGGTGATTTGCATGAACCTTAACTTCCATTTGCTTAGGAATATGTTTAAATGTTCCCTTCTTAGTTTTAAAGGAAATCTATCACTACTGGAAATATGTTTATTTTTTTCCAAGGGAAAAGAAGGATGACTCCAAAGGAGATTCCGAAAGCAACGAGACTCTTGTTGGTTAGTGCCCTGCAGGGCTGCAATATGGCGGAGCACGGCCAATGCGCTGCAAGTACCTTCAGGGTGTACCCCTGGGTTTAGGCGCTTCGGTACTCAGTTGTTCAGTGGCACCCCTTTGTCCCTTTCTTTTTTTGGGTGGCTGCCCCACTAAAAATGGTCCAAGCCCCAAAAAGGGTTCCCTTTTTTTACCCAGGGTCACTGAACAACTGAGGGCATGGCGCAGGGACACGCCCTTGGCTGTGCATGATGACAGTCCCGGAGCTTTGAGGTTGGCCTTGTGCCCAAGTCCGACTAAGCTCGACCAGCCGCAACGCCGAAAGAGGAAAATTGCTGATTGGTACCCCAGCCCAGGGTCGCTCAGTTGGCCATGGGGCATAGCCTATGGCGATCCCATTTTGGGGTGGATGAACATCCATTTGCCACCTATGTTGATGTTCACCAAAGGTACAGGGTTTTGACCCACAGCCAGTTGACCTTTCTTTCATGGCTTTGAACTGCAACCAAACAACAAGAAGGGTGGGTGGTTTGGATTCTTTTAGCCACGGACAGCTAGGAGAACAGTGTTGTCATGGGGTCAGAACCCTGCCGAGTTGGTGGGTTTATGACCTCATGTTTCAAGAAAGCCACACTGCTCAAGACGACTCAACTGACCCTTGAAACAAATCTCAGGCGTGTTTCTGAGTCTGAGTGGGTCCTAAACAAAATTCGCCAGCGCTTCCCAAACTGCTCAGGTCGCCAATTCCCAAACTGCTCCCGCCACTCGTTTTGGTTTGGTTGCCTTTACCCAGCTGGGGCCCAAGGCTCCAATCAAAAACCGACTCGGGGATTGATCCGGTTAAGGGCCACTCCCCTCGCCAACTGCCGCCAGAAATGTCCGCCTTTTGTATTTTCCTTACATGGTCCTGGGAGTCGGGCCATTTTCCCTGAACCGTTTGGACTTGAGAAATCCCAGGTGGCCAACAGCCGGGTCTTCGTGAGCCGCGGCGAAGCCATGGAGGCGAAGCACCTGGCAGACCCGGGGATCCGGCTCATGGGCTTCAAGCGTCTCGGCATGGACGGCTTCCTGAAGCCTTATCTTCGTTACTGGTTTCCCATGGTCTTCCATTTGCTGAAATGAATCTTATGGGCTTTATATATATATATATATGTTTCCCCTGTTGGCTTTCAAGGGAATCGATTTCACTACTGGATGTTTGTTCCAGGGGACTCAAGCATAGAACCCTGCAAAACCGTCAGCCAAGAGAAGCATGGACCCCAACAAACGTTGACATGTTTGAGGGGGTGCTCAAAATAGTGGTCACATGGGTTGTTGGTTTCGGGTTGCTTTGTTTTAAAGGGAAACCAAATTGAAAACCAAAGCCCATTCTGCAGTTTCCGATGTCTATTTTTTGGGCAACCAATCACTAAAAGTGTTAGTTCCCTTCTGCTCCGTTTTAATACCAACGAAAACGCAAGTCCGCCCTCTTTTCAAACTCCCAAATGGCCACCAAGCATGACCTGAATGCCGAATACAGAGGAAATGGATAAGGTCAAACAAAAACATGTTTTATGAACCCCTTTCCGATGACTTACCCTGGGGGTCCATGGGGGTGCCCATAGGCGCGGGCTGGGTTGTTCCAAACCAATCCATGTCCCAGTGCGCAATACAGATTCCGCTGTAAACAAATTGAAGGGGTGGAACTCACTGACCAACTGTGCCTTTATTGATAAGGATCCGCCGTTCCATGCCGAACCCCTCATGGATGGGGTTTGATAATTGCGCCTGTTGTGAGTCCTTGTGATCATGACTTGAATCAGCTTCAAGCTACCGCAACCCCGTTCCAATCATGCAGTTGGCCACTTATAGTACATGGTCAGGCTTGGCGGTGTCCCAAAACCACAAGGACGCCTTTGTGTCCATTCAACCTTTACATTGCGGCTATAGCTACATGTAAGCTCATATCCGCCACGTTCATGTTTTTTATCTTTACAATGGTATCCTTGCAGGGCCCTGTCCCCGCCCTCAAGAAGTTTTGCTGACCCTTGGAGCAGCTTGGCAGGGCGCTTTGCTTGCCGCATCAAGCGCCGAGTTGAAGACAATTGAAAATGGTGCAGCAGACACCCGCCCGGCACTGACCATGGCTTAGGTCCCGGCTCCGGGGGCCTGAAGACAGGGACGCAGGTTGAAAATTTCTTTGATCCTAGGCCGCAGAGCTGCCTCAAGGACACATGACGTGTGGCGGGACCTGTTGGGACGTCGTTTGTTTTTGTTGTTGTTGTTTTGTGTTTTTTGCAGATGTCCCGCAAGGGGTGCATGGCCCAAAAACAAGGCTGGCCCATGTTCATGCCCCCCTCTTCCCAGTCCATCATGAAGTTTGATGAAGTTGGTGTTTCCCCCCAAGTTCTCGGAGTGCGTTCGGGAAAGAACTCCATTTTAAGAACCACCACTGAACGGGTAGGTTTGAGGATGTCACTTGAATGGACCCACTACCTCTTCATTGTCCTTGGTGTGTTTGTTGATGGTTTTCCTAAAGCGGGACTGCAAAGAATTAACACGTTTTGTCAGTTGTGTGGAGGCTGACAGGGCTCTCCAATAGGGGAATTGGCGTGCAAGCTGCAAGAGGCCCAAACAAGCAGACCGTGGGTTGGCGAAATTAGTGGCGAATGGTATTGTGAGGGCTTCTTTAAGTGTTGCTAGCCACATAGCTTGCTCCTGGACCTCATGGGGTGCGTGCCCAGGTGCCCAGCCAATGGTGGGTGTGTGAAGGCTTCCGTCTAAGGGTGGAAGTATATAACCCTTGTTCATGCCCCTTGGCTTCCGTGGTTTCCAACCCCTTTTGGGGAGAGGGGTATGAACATCAGGAGGCCTTTTGGTTTCATTTGTCCAAGGGGTATGTAAAAGGGGTATGTACAAGCACCCCCGGATTCCGGTTTTGTTCCCGCTCTGGGTGTTTCTGGGTTTCTGGGGTCGGTTTCTTGAAAGCGCAGGACCACCACCGCATCTTCCACGCGTACTTCGTGTACCCCAATGAGAAGGCCGCAGGGATATGCAAAACACAAATGCTTAACAAAGCAGACTCTGGGCCCCTGACAGTATGGAGTTGGTTGGCAACGCAGTGGACGGACGCAACCCACTTCGCACCCGTCCTCGATGAAGCGCTGGGATAAGCCACTGAACTTCAACTACTGCCTTTGGAGTCTGTCAAGCCAATTTGTCTGTGTGTCGTCTTTGAGGGTACCTGATTTGGGTAGTTACAAGGGAAGCCAAAAGGAAAACCCCATTTTCTAGGGGTAACTTCGGCATCGTTCTTTTCGAAAACTGATCGCTGTTTCCACAGGGTTTTGGGTGGTTTTCTAGAAAGATCCGGATCTCTGGAAAGAATGGAGAAGCTACCCCTAGACTAAACCGCTGCTTCGTTCAGTTCAAAATCAAACAGCAATTTATCAAACACATCCAGCAAACAATCTGACAACTGCGCTATCATCAAGTGCCCACCATCCAAATACCAGCACGCAGGTCACAGGTTGCATCGCCAGGCCGTGCAAGGCTCTGCCGCTCTCCTCTCCGCCTTGCTCCGCTCTTTGGCGAAGCCGATGGGCCATGCCTTCCCGGGCCCCAAAAATGGCACACCTAGGTCCCCCAGCTAGGTGCCCTTTGACCAAACAAATGTGGGGGAGGGTTCCCTACTAAAATAGACTACAGCAAAAAAAAGTTGGTACTAATTTATTTTACTTTTTTTTGTGGAGGACCTAGACACAATCATAGGCCGGCGTTCCCCCCCAAGGTGACCTGGATCCCCTAGAAAAAACACCACCTCATCCCCAAAATTGGGCGAACAGTTGTTTCAATAACCTCTCGTTGGTTTCCCTAATCGGGGGAGCAGTTGAACTTCCGGTCCTCCGCCCGTCCGACTCAGCCCGAGGCGTGCTGCTGGACCGCAAGCTCTTGGCGCTCTGCAGCTACGTGGCGCGGAAGAACAGCGAGCCGGTGCTGGTGGCGCTGCTGCCGCAGGCCACCGCCGCCGGCCGAGCGCCGGTTGGACGCTGAGGGTCGGGATGTTCGTATCTACAAGAAAGGTGTAAGCCAAGTAATCCTTTGGCCAACCATTGCTACAAGCATAGATGTCTCCCTTTTGGTTGTTTTGGCAGAAAAATAGAGGGCGATTCCTGGTTTAGCTGGTGGTTTAATCACAGGGAAATTTATTTGCCCTAAAAGGACACCTATGGCCAAGAACCCTTTCGGCAAGTTTTGGGGAGGTCTGCCCCAAAGCTCTTTGATGATCAGGGCGCGCAGGTGTTGATTTTGCCCAGTTGATCCTTTTGGAAAGGCCATGAAACAGAATCCGGAAGAATCCGAACAGATGATTGTTTGTGGGCCAAGTTGTTTGGATTGGAGGTCCTTGAAGCCAACCCAACATGTTGTATACCTCAGGGTGGACTGAAAGAGAATCTGAGCACATTACTTGGCCCGCACCCCGGGTTGAGCCACGGTGGATTCCAACTGAATACAATTACATCAGCCGCACACCAGGGGAATCCACCAGATAAATCAAAGTGAGTGCATGATCCTTCGCTCCTTTTTCTACGTTTTTTCCCGCTGTTCATGCAGAAATTCTCAGCAATCCGTCAAAGCGGAACAGCCCATTGTGGGTGGAACCTAGGTCCTGGGCTTGTGCTCCAACACGTCAATGTGCTGTTTGCTGTCTCGCTGTCTCAGGCGGAGGTCGAGGAGGAGGGCGAGCAGCTCCGGCCCCCAGGCTTTCACATGATCCTTGGCTTGTGACGCTGGACCTTCTTTCATGTGGGTATGGGTCGAAAAGAAAACAAGCAGACAGCAGGTTTTAGTCCATGTTTCCATGGGTTCCGTTTTGGGTACAGATTTTTCACCCACAGCCATGTGTCCCCGACGCAGTGAACAGTGCTCGGCGAGAAGCACGGGAGCCCTCTTCAGAGGAGTGGGCGTTTGCGTTGGACTGCTGAAATTAGTATTGCCCATTCTATGTTTTGTTGGCTTGATCTTAGGGTGAACCACCCTTTACAAGTGAAAGGCTACGGCTTCAATCTTGGAATTCCCCCACCCACCCACCCACCCACCCGGAAAAAATCGAAGAGGAAGCAACTCGACAGCAAGAGCGCCCGAAATAAACGGAATCAGGGTCTCCTTTGTACCCCCCCCCCTTCGTGCAACTGTTTGGGCCTGCGTTTGGCGAACCTCTCTCAATCTTGCTGGTTTGGGGGACCACTTACAAGATTGAGTTTGCTAGATCCAAGAACTTTAGGCTCTGAGCTGGGAAAGAGTTAGATAAACTAAAACTAAAAGGTAAATTGTATCTCGATTTGTTGCCGGATTGTCTAGCTTTCTATTATTGAAGACTCCTAAAACAGTCGCGGGATCCTGAATTGGTAACAAGCTTCTAAAATAGACGCCCTACTTACAACAGCAGGTCCAACTTTGCTTGAATCTTTAGCCTTTCAACTTATTTGGACACGTGGTTGTTCGATGGTTTTCTTGCCATGTTGTGTTTTAACAAAAGACCAAAAGCATGTTGACTGTTTAACTTGTTGGTTGGACATGCGTGTATCCCACTAACCCGCAAATAGGCGACAACCTTTTTGCGCGGGGGGGGGCGGGGAAAGCCACTAAGGATCCGTTTGCCCTGGGCGGAGGAGATCCGATCTTTGAGCACCTCTGAGTCGAGAATCTCTTGGTGGGGACGGCGCATCGTTTTTTGTAGGATCGGCAAAGGATGGTTCGGAACGTCCCCCAGAACATCATTTTCCGGGCTCCTAAGGTTCTAGGCTGTTTTTTGTGTCCGCAAAAATGGTTGGATCTGGGGGATTCTGAGGGCTCAGGGTTCTCTGCATTGGAAGGGTCATGTGTAATTAAGCCGATGAATCCTGTTGCCAACCACGACTACCAGGGAACCCCTTTACCATGGATGTCCTTTTGGGGGATTGGACCCCTCCGCCAGTTCTTCGAGGCCGTCGCGTCGAAGTAGGCTTCCATGAGCTCCAGGTATGTGAAGCTTGGTGAAGCCGAGGCACGAATTTGTTGATTCTTCAGCATGAGTTTTGGACCACTTTGGTACCAGAAGAGGTTGGATGCTCAACCTTCTGTTAGAGTCAGAAGTGTGAACTGACGGGGTCAACCTCCTTCAATAGCAGTGTCGGGATTAAAGTCCTTTGTTTAGAAAAGGAAAGTGCCTTTCGTGAGTGCTTTTGCAAAGGATACTAAAAGGGCAAGGGTCTGACTATATAGCTCCTTTGTTCAGAAGCTGGTTCCCCCTTGTGCTGTGCTTGTTTGCAAAGTATCCCAAGGGCAACAAGTGTACGAGGTCTGGGCTCGAACCTATCGGGAAAGGCTACGCTACCCTCAGCGTCGCTGCTCCGTCAGCCTAGGCCCTCCCTGGCTACCCGCTTAGCCAGACCATCCGACGGCCGTTAGGTAAACGCACGTCGTTGCTTCAATCATAAGATCTCAAGTTTCCTGAAAAGAAGGCCTCCAGGCCAAGGTACTCATTCGGGGAACAGAGAAGCGAGGGGTCGGATCCGATTTAAGCAAGGAACTTTGAGCAGCGAGCGGCTCACTTATGGCTCAATGCACTCCCACTGGCAAAGGTGAAAGTGCACAGGCACCCGTTCCGCAAGGAAGATTGTCCAAGCGTTTTTGTCACTTCGATCTTTGTTCGGGGGCAACTCCATAGCGGGCCCGCCCGGTAAGGATGGTTATAAGCAACTTTTCCCATCCAACAGTTAGCCTCAAACAGCTTGGCTTCCCCAAGTGGAAGAGGGGGCTATGAAAACCACGGCCTTGGTTCTAGCCCTGCCCGCTTTAGTCACTCACTGACCCATGCGCTGGAGGCTTTCCGTTGCCCGAGGGCATTCCGGAGATTCCGGATCAGCTGAAGGCGAGAGGGATGGGCCCGCGATTCCGCCAGGTCGATTTCCTGTTGGCATCCGGTCAGTTAAACAAAGGGCGAACCCCGACCCAGACTTCTAGGCGAAAAGATTAGCTCTCCACCTGTCCAGTGACATCCGTGTTGCATGTTGCCACAGCAAGCCCGACCGTTGGACATTTTCTGGGGAAGCCTTTTTGATGAAACAATTGAAGACCAAGCTGGCTCCATCTCGCGGTCGGTGCGTTTGGCCCCCTATTCAGCTCGGAGGTCTTTTTCACCATCATATCATTTGGGTGTGTGCGTGTGTCCTTGTGTGTGTGTGTGTTTGCTTGTTGGATAGTTGTTCTTCAGTCTGCTTTAAAGGGCGCCTGAAAGGAACACCATTGTAGGGCCCCCCTCTGACACATGCCTTCTGTCACGTCATTGGGCTTAGTACAAGCACCTACGCATGTTTCGTGGCATGCCGGGGGGGGGCGGGGTCAGGCCGGGGTTCAAGCTTCTGGTTTCTTGGGTGGTTTACTGATCGCCTTGTGGCAAATGTTGATGTTTCCTTTTGTGATGTTAAGAAGGGACATAGGAAGGAGCGCAGGATAGGACTTTGATGGGACCATCCACTCGGGAGGTGAGTGGTTTGGCGCTGGGATTATGGCGAGCAGCCCAAATAAGGTGGATCAACTCGCGAATTAGCAGCAGGGGAGTCGAGAAATTGAGAGCCATGCAAGATTCCTGGCCCTTCCTGTCGCACACCATCCAAACGGGGTCGGTCCTAGTCTCTCCCCCCCCAGAATTTTGGGCCCCGCCACGGCGGCCTTCTGCCACAGCTTGAGCGTATGGCTATAAGTGAGGCAACCATTCCCTGGAGGGGACTGGAAACCAGTAGTTCAACGGCACCCCTTCGCTTGGGAAGCAATGGAAACCAACCAGGCTATGGGCTGAGCCCAGCGGAATCTCCCAAAAAGGCCAAGACCATAGCCAAACAAGCCCGCAACACAGTAGATGCAGGGCCATGGTAGTTTCTCGGCCGAAGCTAACCAAAGAAAGTCTGCTTCAGCCTTCCATACTCACTAAGACTTTGCCATCATGAAGGAAGTGAGTTGGATGGAGTGCAGGTGGTGTTCTTTGTTTTCTGCAGATTGTTTGTGCCGTCCTCCCATCAATTACGTGTTCAGCAAGGAACCGAGCCCCTAGAAACGCATCAGCAAAAGAAGCCTTAGCACCTTTGGAGGGAAACACAAGCAGTGTGTTTTGACGGGTGCAAAGAGAACTCCAAACTTGGGGAAATCCTTGCAACCCTAACATCCCTCATTCCTCAAGGGGCAGCCCAGGTTTGCTAGCCACCCACCACTCCTATTTCTTTCAGCCACCTTCGGGCCAGTTTGGGTGTTTCCTGCTTTTGGTGTGATGCACAGGTAGTTGAAGGTTCGTAACTAAAGGACATGTCCCAATGCAGCGGCGCGACCGCAATGAACCAGGGGCTTTACCGGGACCCCATGAGGTGAAATGTGTAAGGTGATAGTGACTGAGGTGGGTTCGTAGCGCCCCCAGTTCACCTTGACTCAAGTCCCACGGGGTAACCATTTTGCGAACTCAGGCCATCTAAGTGCTCAAAATGCAAGGCCCAACCCTCCTTTTAGTCAGGGGGTCACATCATTTCCAAGCATAAGTGAGTCTTTGGCGAGGAGCAGGTAATGGCTTTGGAGATATGGGCGCATACATGCACAAGCGTATATACATGTGTATAATATATATATATATATATATATGTGTGTGTGTGCATGTATTTATATGATAATATACTTATGTGTTATATATATAAGTATACACATGCTACATGTGCACATGTAGATAAATATACGCATAATAAGCTTCGAATTCATTGCTTCCCGGTTGCATAAATCGGACATAACCTCCACACCTCCAAAGTCAACACTTGCAAATGCCCTTGCCCTTGCTGTGAATAAAGCAAGTTTATGCGCCAGCCCAGCTTTTCACACAGCTTCATCCTTCCGAGCTTGTGCAGGATTTGTCCATCCACAGCACCACCAAACCCAACCTGGGATACACCAAATATTGCGCTTAAGGTGACGTGAGCAACCCTTTACACCGCAATCTTCAGGGGCTTTGTGGTATTTTTGTCCACTTGCAACATTTGGGGTGTCTAATAGAACATCAAGGACCGATTCGTGGTTGTTTTTTCCCTTTGGTTTCTCTTTTGAAGCGCCCCGAAAAGGGTTCCGAGCCTACAAAGACGAGCCGTACAGGATTCCCCATAGTTGTCTCTTTTTGGAGCTTTAAACATTAGCTTGTGGGTCAATCTAACCTGACTAGGTCCCCCAGAAGTGCCCTGTTACCCTTTCTTGGGGGAGGGTTCCCCCCAAAATACCACAGAAAAAAGTTGGTACCAACTTTTTCTAACCTCTCAAATCTGGAGGACCTAGCTGAGTTCCCGGTTGAAGAGCCTACGCCCTACGGCCTTGGGGCCAGGCTGCGGCGCGCGACGTGGTGGAAGGCCTTCGCCTCGACGACTTTGCCCCGGGCTGCGCGGAGAACCCGGTGCTGCAGCGCCACTACGCGGCCGTGCAGGCGGGGCATCCGATTCGCTCGGCTCTCCGAGGACCTTAACTTGACTGCTATTGGGTTGGATCTTTAGGCTTTAACTTTTTGGTTGAAATAAAAGTGTTGTTCACTAAACCCCCACAAAGTTAAACTTTTTGCAGGGGGGTTCAACAGCAACCAAGTTAAAGCGGGGACAGCGGTCATGGGGTGTCCTTTGCTCTTTGCATGTTGTTTGTTGTTTCTTCTGTTCATTCTGCGTGGGGGTAACACGAGTGACAGCCACGAAGACCGCTTTGAGGATCCCGAGTTTCAATTGTATGTGTTTTATCAGTCGCAGAAATCTGCGTGTGTGCGGCTTGCGACCGTTTTGCTTCATGTTGGTCTCATTTCTGTCCGACCTGTTGGTCCATGTCAATTGATGCCGTTTTCCATGTTGGTTCCGATTTTGGGTCCTAAACCCAACGTTGCCCGTTGGAGCAGGTGCTTTCCCGGAGGGTATCTCGCTGCATGGGAACCCACAATCAGCAATGCCCTTGTTGATTGTGAGTCGGAGATGTCCCATCTACGCGGACCGGATTGGGCTTTGGGTCTAAAAGCCCTCTATTCATCCAGTAAGACGATGAATCCGGACTCGATATTCGCCCGTTTCAACGATTTGCTTATTTGTTGAGTTCCCAAAACTTTAAGCTGTTTGTTGGTGGGAAGTCTTCATCATCTTGGTCATGATTCAATGATATGTATTTTTCCTGGCCATTCAACTCATGAGGTGGACAGGAACCCCCAAAGCGCGTGTAAAAAAAGGCTGTTGTTTGACGATGTCTGACACCTAAGAATGGTCTTTGCCTTAAACACATATTGTGCGGTTTTTCTCCCGAACCCTGACATGGTTCCGTTGTGATTTTTGAAGGATGCCTTCCAAAATCGGGCGGACATTGCAGCAATGGAAGCCCCTTTGCAAGTGGCAAATGAATTGCGTGGTTGAGCGGAGTGGTGCCCAGTGTTGACAAACTCGGGGGTGGAGTTCAAATTCCCATGTGCATGTGTGCGCGTGCGTCGGTAGAGCCCTATTGTGCATGGACGAATCCATCTCGCACCACTTTAATACCATGGCTGAAGCCATTGTTTGATGGTATTTACGTTGGCGAATCGCATCATTTCAGGTGTCATTACACTTCGGTGCAGGTTGCCAAGGGATGTTAGGGCTTTAACTTTTTGCCAACCAATGGGGGTTTTCCGATTAGACCGCGGGAGCAGGGGTTCGCAACAGAGACAACTTTTAGCCTCGTAGCCCCGGCATAAACCCAAGCATCCAGCTACGCAGGCCCTGGCGCTGGCAGAAGAGCAGAGCCCCGGATCGATCGAGTCACGGGATCTCCTTCGGCTCGCTGTCAACTGTTGGCTTAAGAGGAACGAGAAGGGCCCCATTTTGGGGTTTCCTATAGACGTACCCTTATTTTCAACCTCTTCACAATTGAAATCAGAAGGTTCATTTGAGACGTAGCCTTTTTCTTGTGACTTCTTCACAGTTTCAGTCAGTTTAAGGTTTACTCAATATCTCACTTGAGCTGGACAAAGCACATGTTATGTCTGGAGTGCAGTGGCAACTGGGAGGAAAGCTGCCGATTAGGAGGAAAACCGACAGGAGGATTCCCTTCAGGTTGCCCTCCCAGAGCGCAGGGTGGGAGACTCCTAAGTGTCCTTGAATCGGAGCAACTTTGCACTCACATAGTTGTAGAATCGGTTTGGATACTCTTGGGGATGCGTATTCTCCCTGTTGGCCCCTTTGGACCTTCCAGAAAAACTGCATCCAAACTGTTTTTCAGAGATGGCTGGATTTGGGGGGCAAATGTCACCGGACGCCTTCCTGGATCGCTTTGAGGAAAGAACCCATGAGTGGCGCCTGCGTTTTCTTTGAACCAATCCGACATGACAAGTGGACGGTCGGCGAAGACACAAAAATGGACTCAGCTTTGAAACGGCTTGAGGATTGGTGGGGCAAGACATCGAAACCTCAGGTCCTTGATCACGGCTGTTTGTCCCATGCCCTAAATAACAAGCCTGGCCCCGCATAAAACATGACTTGCAGGTTGCCAAGGGATGTTAGGACTTCAACTTTTTGCCAACTCGTGGGTTTTCCAATTATTCCTGCTAAAAGTCATTTGCTCTTAGCAGGCGAGAAGAAAGCCACCGAGACAACTAAGCCTCGTGGCGCCGGCATAAACTTCCATTTGGTTAGGAGTATGTTATATTTTCCCCTGTTGGTTTTCAAGCGAATCGATTTCACTACTGGAAAGAATTTCTCATGTTTTCCAGGGGTCTTCAGCAAATGGAAGTAAAAGGAATGACGAGTGGTCACTGAGTGGACGTCCCGATTGGCTGGTTTGGAGTCCGACTTCTGGCGCCAAGGCCCGAGGAGACGCTGGACGTGCTGCAGCCGGACGGCGCCACCTTGGAGAAGAAGGCGCCGCTGCTGAAGGCCTGGAAGGAGGCGTGGTGGGTGAAACGCGACGCAACGGCTTTGGCTCCCAAAAAGGGAATTCCCAACAACAGGAGTTGGTTCTTTCTTTCCTTTTTTTGTTTGTTTGGGGGGGGGAACCGTTTTCGAGAGACCATTTTTTCTGGAAATCAACAACAGGAAACCACTTTTGTTGGAGGAAACCCGTTTTCGGGAAGCAAGAGTCAGTTTTACGGCCCGAAACTGCTCCGCGCACATTGGAATATTCCCCGAAAGGCCCCGAAGGCCCCGTAATGCCCATGTTCAAAAGAACGGCCACATGGGGACGCCTTTGCATGGCAACCGAAGGCCCCAAATGCAATGCTGTGCTTTTCCATGCCAAAAAGGGAAGCAAAAGGGAAAAGTTGACATGCTAAGCTTTATGTTGTCAAGCTTCTTCATCATTGCAGTCAGGGCCCAAATGGAATCGGGATGTCTTTGTGGTTAATGTTCACCAGAAAAATCAATTAGGGGAACGGATCCCACATCGAGACAGGAGACATGTTGATGTCCAACGAAACATTTGCTCAGCTGCAAGCTTCAGGTGCTTGGCCCATGTGGCCGATAGGTTCTTCGGTCTCAGCATCGATTTCAAAGGAACCGAAAGGCCAACGAGCCGGACTCAGGGTGGCTCTGAATGGGAAAACCGAGGCCAAATCGCTATTTAATGAAAGTGTTTTTTCCCCAAATAGTGTTTACACTATGGGGTTCTTACGGGAAGAGTTTAGGCCGGTTTAGATCAAGGTTCGCGCTAGGTTCGCGCTAGGTTCGCGTGGCCCTGTGCGTAAAAAGTTGTTTTCGGTGCTCGCACGAAATGGAGGTTCGTGCTGGCACGTGCGTCTCGCTGTGGTGCCGTTCACATTTGCTCTTTTTGGGCTGGCAGGGCCACAATTGGGAGGTTCGCACGATGAACTTTTGAGCCGCTGCGACGCGGGTGTGGGTTTTTTGAGGAAGCCTCGTGCCAAACGCTGTTTTTTGAGAGTTGGGCCAAGCTGCGACGCTGGGACAATCGGAGCTCTAAAGCCATGGCAGTTGTCGCAAAAAGTTGTCTTGAGGGCAAGAGCTTCGCACGAAACGGACATCTTTTCAAAACTGCGCTCTCGCTGTGGCGCCGCGCCGATTTGGGGGATTCGTGTGTTACCGCAGAATTCCATGGCCAGCGCAGCATTTTGTGAGACTGCCGGTTTTTTTAGTGGCAATCACAGTGTGTTTTGCGCTGATGCTATAGGACGCTATAGGATGCGTGGCAGGCGCAGTACTTTCATAAAAAGGGTGTGTGAATTTCGTGGCAGGCGCAGCGTTTCACTCATTCGCAAGCGTTGCGGTACGAAAGTGAACCCTTTGCGGAGATCGCTCTCGCTGTGGCGCCGTGCGAATTTCTCTTGAGCTCGGCAAACCCTCTGCGGAGATCCTGCGTGTCGAAGCGCTCTCGCTGTGGCGCCATGCGCATGCGTCTTGCTCTCGGCGAACCCTCTGCGGAGATCCTGCGTGTCGAAGCGCTCTCGCCCTGGCGCCGTTCGATGTTTCTGTTTTCTTTGCTTGCGAATTGGTGTTTGGAAGTTGTCTCGTGGTTTGCGCGTGTGCTTGCACCATCGCGCGTTAGTACGAGCAGCGCGCTTCCGCAGCTCCGGCTGACAAATTGCAAGTTTTAAGTACCAAAGTAGCACGCGAAGAGCTTTCAGAGGCGCGCCTGCCAAATCGCAAATTGTTGTAAGTACATCAGTGGCACGCGAAGTGCGCTCCCGCAGCTCCGGTTGAAACTTCGCAAGTTTTAAGTACACAAGTACGTGAAGAGCTTTTGGAGAGCTCCGGCTGCAAAATCGCAACTTTTAAGTGCAAAAGTGGCGCGCGAAGTGCGGTCCCATGGCTCCGGCCAAAGTTGTACGCGAAGTGCATTCCCGCAGCAGCCCCCGCTCCGGCTGCAAGGTCGTAAGTGTTTTCGCGCAAAGGCGGCGTGCGAAGCGCGCTCTCGCATCTCCAGCTCGAAAATCGCAACTTGCCGCCAGCCTGCTTGCGCAGCCAAAACTGCACGCAGATATGGACAACAGAGGTTGACAAGAGACAGGGACATGAAAGGTTGGGTGAGAGAGGTTGCACAGCATCATGCGCGAGAGAAAACCGTCACGCATAGCATCATGCGCAGCATCATGCACGTCGCCGTGCGCAACGCCACGCGCAGCACCGTATGCAACATCATGCCTCCGCGGCATCATGCGCAACATCACGCGTAGCTTCACGCGCAGCGCCAAAACACAGCGTAGCACGCAAGAGAAGTTGACAGAGGAGATTTGCTTGTCAGAACTTGCGGCAGCTTCGAAGGGACATTGATGTGTT